GAGGGGCAGAGAGAGAGGGAGACACAGAATCTGAAGCAGGCTCCAGGCTCTGAGCTGCAAGCACAGAGCCTGACGCGGGGCTCGAACCCACGAACTGCAAGATTATGACTTGAGCCGAAGTCGGACACTTAACTGACTGAGACACCCAGGCTCCCGGTGACTTTTTTTTTTAATGAAGATTTAGAATAGCGGTTACAGAAGAGGTACTTACGTCGCTATTGTCTCATCAGTGAATGTAAAGATTGTTCCTTTTCTTTACTGTCAAATGTGCCATTCCTGGATAATTCCCTGTCCGCCACAGCACATCCGTGGCTCCTCAAGCCTGACCTTCCCGCCTCTGTAGTTCCCTAATGCTCCGGAAACTGGGTCCTCAGTTGTGACATCTTCGGATGCCAGCTTCCAACAACTCACCAAGGCTGCACCGTACTTTGTGGATGATGACAAATGCAAGTCTTACCTATGGGGAAGCCTGAATTAGAATCCTTTTCCTGGTCCTGTGAGATTAACTGTTGCAATTTCTTTTTTTAGTTCATTTATTTTAAGAGAAAGAGAGCATGCAGGAGGGGTAGGGAGAGACAGAGAATCCCAAGCAGTCTCCACACTGTCAGCGTGGAGCCCTCTGCGGGGCTGGAACTCACGAAGCAGGAGACCATGACCTGAGCCTGATATCAAGAGTCAGATGCTTAACTGACTGAGCCACCCAGGTGCCCCAACTGTTTGGAATTTTCATAGCATAAACAGAATAGCACATCTTCTGATCATGTCCTCTCCTAAACTCCACGGGCTGTGCAGGAAGGGTGCGTTCCTAAGAGTATAATCTCTTCCAGCGCTGACCTGCCGTCTGCACTCAATACCCGCAGGGATGATAGGCGACGAGCCATGGTCTAAGAGAAAAGGGGGTCTCATTGTCCCAAGGAATGTCCCTCCTGCATCTGGGATGGCTGGAAACCATCCTAACAAGCACAATGTCATTGCACTGATTTGAGGCATAGGTCAGAAGGATCAGTTAGCAAGCCTGACACAGAGCCTGTGGAGCGTGGAGCATATGCATTTTGAGGGCCAGGGCAGGGGGTCCACGGGAAGAAGGATGCCTGCAGTCACCCCGAGAAGGATACATGGGACACAGGTGGATGAGAGCAGATGCATGGGTCCACACGTGCATCACTCACAAGAGTGAGCTGATTAGCAGATTGCCTTCTGAGAACTGGGCTGCTCCGTAGGCAGGAGTCCGAGAGCTACTCAGACATCTGGTCACCCCCTGATGCAACATGGGAGATGAGTAGAAGGGGAGGAGTTGCATTCAAGGGAAGAACCAGGAACCAGGGACCACACAGGTTGTGGTCTTGTCTTACCAGTCCAGGCACCGGAGAACTTATGAAGTTTAAAAGAAGGTGCTTTAGAGCATAGCTTGCAAGATCTAAGGGGGGGGGGGTGCTGTTGGGAGGCCCCTTCCAGTTCTATGGTCCCATAAGTCAACTCTTCATGTCTTAGTTTGCCCACTGTCTGGGGCCATTTGAAATAAAAACCTATTTTATACATATTTGGGGTTCAGGGACCCTTCCACAAATTTTACTAGTTTAATAAAAATGTGTGCACTATGGTTCGTCTAGGCAGCAGAGGTCCTCCTGACCCTTAATACTGTGAAATATTTGCCATCCTTTGGAGAGCTGGGCTAAGACTCACGATCAGAAATTGAACTTCAGGGATGCCTGGGTGGCTCAGTCGGTTAGCATCTGACTCTTGATTTAGGCTCAGGTCATGATCTCAGGGTCGTGAAATTGAGCATGGAGCCTACTTGGGATTCTCTCTCTCTCTCTCTCTCTCTCTCTCTCTCTCACTCTGTTCCCTCCTCCCCACCATAAAATAAATTGAACAAAAGAATGAATGTGGTAGGAAAAGAATAGGCATTGGTGTTGGACAAACCTGGATTCACCACTTTCTGAGTGACATTTAGCAAATGGTTGAACCTCTTGGAGCCTCCATTTTCTCTTCTTGGATGGTGGCCATGCTAACATTTGTACTGCAGACATCTAAGGAGATTTATGCTCTTGGCATGTAGCAGCATGTTAAAAAGAAAACCATGGGCCCAAAATGGCATCTCTTAGGCTAACTCAGCAAACCAAAACTTAATAGCTAACCTAACTGCAGTTTCAAACTCTCAAAAATGTAACCTTTCACCGGTCAACATGGAATTTTCTGGTCGATACTAGGAAATTTACTCATAGACCCCTTCTGCTCCTCTTCGGAGGGCAATGTTGTCTAAACAATGAATTCCTTGCTAATAAATTCCTTTACTCTTTGTCTATGTGCCTTCTCTCTGCCTTTGTAAACTTTTGTTTTGCTCAGTGGGGCTCCCCTCTATTTGCTAGATGGGATGGTGCCCAGTTCATGAATCATTGGGTCTTCACCTTTACTTGGTAGAATTTTGATTTTTAACACGCTGCTCAATACACATTAATTCTTTCTTCCTTCTACCTGAGAGTGGAGAATATAGAGTTTTCCAGCCACTCCCCTCTTCTTTACCACAGTTCTCCGAAGAAGAGTTTACAATTCAGGCTTTTATTGGCTTCTCAAACCATCTCAGCCAGGCCCTTCCCTCCTTGTTCCCCGAGGCCTCTCTCCGACTCCCGAGGGACTTTACCCACCTCCTTTTGGTCCTTGATGAGCAATATAGTTGATAAATAATCAATCAAGAATGCTCTGGGTGGACACATCTTGGCACCAATGGCTTTAAGCCCTTCTGACCTACCACCCAAAAGACCTCCTTCAGGCCCTAACTCCTCACTTCTCAGAACTCTCCCCCTGGCTTCTGGAACACCACTCCCTGTGTCTTGCAAGCCCACCCCCACCACTCCTGCGCAGACTCTCTTCCCATCCCCCATGTCCCTTGGTTTCCCTCTTCTTCCTTTCCTCATCTGTAACTCTATGGGGTGGGGGTGGGGATTGCATGGGAAGATCTCCACCCATAGGCCTTGAATCCCACCATGATCCATTAACCCCCATGTCTGTGTCTCCAGCTCAGATCTCCATCCCGAGGGTGGGAATTGTCTACCCAAGTATCCCCTGCTGGGGTCCAATAGATGCTGGAAAGAAACCCATTTGAAATGAAAGTCTTCATGTTGCTTCCCCAGAACTCTTGCACTAACCTTGTCCTTGTCTGGGTTATTGGTTTCATCATTCTCTCAGGGACCTGAGCTTGGCAATTTGATACCTGGCACATGGATGCTTGTCACAGCTAGAGGACATTTGTCAAAGCAGAAGCCCTGGGGCATCTGGGTGGCTCAATCGATAGAGCATCAGACTTGGGCTCTGGATATTATCTTGAGGTCGGTCAGTTTGAGCCCCACGTCAGGCTTGCTGCTGTCGGCACAGAGCCTGCTTTGGATCTTCTGTCCCCCTCTCTGTGCCCCTCCCACACTTGTGCTCTCTCAAAAATAAACAAATATTGAAAAAAAAAAAAAAAGAAGTTGGCGTCATGGCACTTCCTTGCTCAGACATCTTCAGTCCTTCCTTCTTGTGGCATCGACTTTGACCTCTGAGCTGGTGCTCAGGCTCCAACCAGTGTCCTTTCTTTCCATATTACTGGGTCACATGACCCAGATCTGGGGGCGTAAGTCTGTTTCATCATGTGCATTGGCTCCAATCTTGGAGAGTTTTGCCTGAAGCCCTGCATCTGGGGACACCCAGGAAAGACAGGCACAGGGAGCAGCGGCAATGTGCTGTCACCCCTGCCCTGCCTGTAGCACCTTAGGGGTGCTGGTGTCCCCAGGCAGGCTCAACGTGTTCCCACCTCTTTGTTACCATCATATAAGCCTCTAAAATCCCTTCTGCAGCTTCTAAGTCCAACTTATTTACCCTTCAAAGCTTGACTGAAATGACATTTCCTCCTGAAACCTTCCCCAGTTTTAACAGACGGTTCCCTCCCGTGATCTGAAAGCACTTTGTTGGTGCCTTTCCATCTGGCTGTACTGTTGCTGGTGTCTAACCGTCTCCCCAGCTAAATCACGAGTCTCTAGAAGGTGCTTCTCCTTGGTTGTGTCTCTTCCGCTGACAGGTCAGAGGGCCTCTCACAGAGTGGGTGATAAAGGCTGCTTGAGCCGCTCAAGGCCCTACGGTCAGAAGTCACCCCCAGGCTGCCCTGCATGGCTCTTTCCCCTGCCCATCAGGGTTACAAGTGCACTCTTAGGGACTCTTGGAAGCACACCCCAACAGGGCTCTGTCAGAAGGCTTGGATGAGGGGCGCCTGGGTGGCTCAGGCAGTTGAGCGTCTGACTCTTGATTTTGGCTCAGGTCATGATCTCATGGTTTTGTCAGTTCAATCCCCACATGGGGCTCTGTGCTGACAGTGCGGAGCCTGCTTGGGATTGTTTGTCTCTTCCTCCCTCTCTGGTCTCTCCCACTTGTGTTGTCTCTGTCTCTTGAAAGAAAGAAAGAAAGAAGGAAGGAAGTTAGGAAGGAAGGAAGAGAAAGAGAGAAAGAGAGAAAGAGAGAAAGAGAGAAAGAGAGAAAGAAAGAAAGAAAGAAAGAAAGAAAGAAAGAAAGAAAGAAAGAAAGAAAGAAAGAAAGAGAGAGAGAAAGAGAGAAAGAAAGAGAGAAAGAGAGAAAGAGAGAAAGAGAAAGCAAAAAGCTTGGGTGCCTGGGCCTCAGGCTGTCACATCTCAGGTTAGAGACACATCACACCCCTATGTGGGCCGCTCTTGTGTTCTGTCTCTGCGGTCCCAGTGCAGGTAAACTTCAGTAAATGTGTAACTTGATGGCATTCCAGCTCATTCTGTTCAGCAGTGAAAGCGCGTATCGATCACCCTGACTTCCTGGACGGAATCTCTGCCTGAGAATTGCTCTGGCGCCTGTCCCCCAGCCCGGCCTGGCTGCCCGAGGCCCCAACCCCCACCGTCGGCCAAGTGATGTCACCCCCCTCCTCCCCAGCCTGGGCACAGAACGCTCTGGGAACGGCTCCGTCCCCACCCCTCTGATATAAATAGGGCCTCCGTGGCCCTGCCACGGGGAGAGGCTGCCTCTGTCTTGGGGACTAAAGGCAGAAGGTAAGCTGGGACCCACCCCTCCCCATCTCTTTCAGGGCAGCTGAGTCACCTGCAGGGAGGAGAAGCCTGGGGGGGGGTCTCTGTGGGGAGGGGGGAAGAGGGGCTGGAGGCCAGAAGCCAGGGATCCCTGCAGCACGGAGGCATCACCGGGGAAGACTCACAAGCTGCCTTTTTCCTCCTGTCACACCAGACCTCCAGCCATGGGGACTGTCCTGTCCCTCAGCACACCCCAGGTCCTCCCAGAGGAGCCGTCCCTCCCCGGCAGTAGAGCAGAATGGCCAGGATCTCCTGCTGCTCAAGAGCGGGGGGGCAGGGGGGCGGGGGGAGGCGTCCTCAGGGGCTTGCACAGGAGCAGAGTCATGGTGGCCTAGAGTCCCCTGGGTCCTCTTCCAGCAGAAGGAACAGCAAAGCTTATGGAGCAGGTGGTGGAACTGGGGGTGCTGGGCCCTGACTCAATTGGCCCAGGGCTGTGTCCCCACAGGGCTCAGATGACGAGTGTCCTGCGTCTGACTCCCCGCACCTCCCTTGAGGCAGTGCTGCCTCCGGGTTCAAGGCTGTGTTCTGTGCACTCAACTCCTCCCCTTGTATCCTTGAGCTTCGGTTTGCTCATCTATAAAATGGGACAGATAGCAATGCCTGGCCTCCCTTGCTCACGAACGGCGGTGTACATTAAAAGAGCGAATATAACGTGAAAGTGCTTTCCAAACTTTAGGATAAACTAGAAAGACAAATTCTTATTATTTTGTTCAAGAGGCACTACAGGTCAATGCTGAAGCGTGTGGACTATGGGGTCCAGGAGGTGGGGGGAGGGTCTGGACTCCTAGTTCTGTCTCTCGCTAGCTGCGTGACCTTGAGCAAAACACGGAACCTCCTCTGTAAACCAGCATTAAGTAATCCACTTACCAATTATTTATCAAGTACCTACTAGGACCCAGGAACGTTTCCGGGAATGTGGTATATATGGATCAGCGAACAAAACAGAGAAAGGTCCCCACTCCCATGGGGTTTGCATTCATGTGGGAAGAGACAGAATTAAAAACTAAAAATAAACAGATCAATGCTGCAGAGGGTTACAGGGTGAACAGTGCTACGGGAAGAGGAAGTAAAGCAGGATTGGTGAGTCCAGAGTGGCAGGCGTGGTGGGGGACAGTTGCAGTGTGAAATGTGGGGTCAAGGAAGCCTCAGCAGGATGAGAACGAGTCGTTCTATGGAAAGCACGGGAATGCTGCCCGGCAATGATAAACATTATATTAGTGTCAGTTGCTGATCTCACCATTTCATTAAGCCACGGAACCATGAGGAGTTGGATACCTGGGCGAGGTGGGGGGGAATGGGGGGCTGAGGGGGAGAGTGGTGGAGAAGGAGAGTGTCACAGGTGCCTAATGCGTGCTGACTTGGGACCAGCCCAGGCAGCAGCAACAGATCCCAGCTAAGAGCAACGACAGTGATCCCAGTGATCGTGACATTGCTTCACCTGAGATGGTGCCTGGGCTGTCTGGCCCCAACTGGGGATGGGGTGCCTGTTACTGCAAGATTTCTCCAGCACTCTGCTTCCACAAGTTTCCCCTGATAACTCAGTGTGGTCTAGCTTTTTTATTTTTATTTTTTAATGTTTATTTATTTATTTTTGAAGGGCTGGGAGGGGGCAGAGAGAGAGAGAGAATCCCAAGCAGGCTCCACGCTGATAGCTGAATCCGACTCGGGGCTCAATCCCATGAACCATGAGATCATGACCTGAACAGAGATCAAGAGTTAGATGCTTAACTGCCTGAGCCGCTTGGGGGCCCCCATGTTTGGCTTTTGACATGAGGCGTGAGCTGGCCACGTCGGCTTGTTTAGACAGGAAGGAGAACTTTCTGTTCCGCTTCTGTGTGTTGTGTGGCTCCTCGTGAGAGCAGTGGATTAAGTCAAATGCACAGTATGGAGGGTAAAACGGTGGCTGGAGTCAGAAGTCAAAGTTCCTCTGGGATTGGATGACCAGGACAGAACAAAACACAATACTTCTGAGAACAGGCACAGGTGACCAGACCCGGGAGAGGAGTACAAGGTGCTAATATAAGGGGACGAGTGCATATGGACAGGTGTGCAGGAGAGACATGGGTGTCAAGGTGACCTTGAGTCAGTGGTGACATACCTCAGCTCCAGGAATGCCTGGAAGGGCTGGGGGCTGAGTAAGGATGGGGACCGGAGCACTAAGGCATAAGCTGGTAATACAGTTCACCTCTTCACCAGAAATGAGTGAGATGTCATATACGTGACATATGTGAACCGAATGAACCATACAGTGAGCATGGATCCCCTCAAATGCAAAGGGTCAGACAGAGGAACAAGCTAGGAGACCTAGCCCAAGGGCCTGACCTGAGCCAAGATCAAGAGTTGGATGCTTAGCCAACTGAGCCACCCAGGCGTCCCTTAATCTCCTCTTCTTAGAAGAACGCCAGTCAGACTGGATTAGGTCCCATCCCAATGGGATTAGGTCCCACCCCACCTCATTTAACCTAAATTACCACTTTATCTCTCTAAATATAGTCCATTTTGAGGTAGTGGGATTGAGATTTCAACAAATAATTTAAAACATTTTTTGCCTTAATATCATACATTATTGCCGAAAGTGTTCCCTTAAAAATATACTTAGATGTTTCCATATTACTCTTTTATTAAACATATAATTATTGATTAAAGCATAACATCACTGATTAATATCACATAAAACTAATATCAGCCACTCACATATTCTTGGAGAGAAGAGCTTCCAGTATTTTGTGAAAACATTTGTGTACATCTTTACTTGATTTAACGGAAATTTCTCATATCTGTTTAAAATACACAGATGTCTTGGCGTGCCTGGGTGGCTCAGTCAGTTAAGCATCGAAGTTCGGCTCAGGTCATGATCTCCTGGTTCGTGGGTTCAAGCCCCGTGTCGGGCTCTGTGCAGACAGCTAGCTCAGAGCCTGGAGCTTGTCTTCAGATTCTGTGTCTCCCTCTCTTTCTGTCCCTCCCCTGCTCATGCTGTCTCTTTCTCTCTCTCAAAAATAAGTAAAACATAAAAAAAAAATAATAAAAAAATAATAAAACCTACAGATGTTTTAATATCAAGACATTCCCACCACTCTAAAAATCAGACAAAATACAAAACCAATCCCAAAATAAGCCCTATGAAAGCGCAGCTCAGCCATGACAGTGTCTTCTGCGCCTGCATCTTATTTTCCTCAGAGTTTTGAAATTTATTACTTCTCTTCGACGTGTGTGGACGTGGATAGATTTCTCCGGGACTGAGTGATTGTAGGGAATATTGGAACAGCTAAAAGTCTGGCTAGAGGGCACTTATTCACTTAGTAATCTGTCACCCTTCCCGAAATTGCATTTTTTTCAGAATACACAGAAGTGAGCACCCACCTCCAGTCAGAGATGGCACCTACTGGCTTGAGCCCGAGGGCCGCTGTCCTCTGTCTCCTGGCCTGGGCCAGTCTGGCCGCTGCTGACCGGGTGTACATACACCCTTTCCACCTCCTCGTCTACAGTAAGAGCAGCTGTGAGCAGATGGAAAAGTCCAACATGGAGACGCCCAAAGAGCTGACCTTCACACCAGTCCCAATTCAGGCCAAGATAACCCCTGTGGACGAGGAGGTCCTTCGAGAGCAGCTGGTGCTGGCCACCGAGAAGCTGGAGGAGGAAGATAGGCTGAGGGCAGCGAAGGTGGGCATGATGCTCAACTTCCTGGGCTTCCACATGTACCGCATGCTGAGCGAGTCATGGAGCACAGCCAGCGGGGCCATCCTGTCCCCAACAGCTCTCTTTGGCACCCTGGCCTCTTTCTATTTGGGTGCCCTGGACCCCACGGCCAGTAGACTACAGGCGTTCCTGGGCGTCCCCGGGGAGGATCAGGGCTGCACGTCCCGGCTGGATGGCCACAAGGTCCTCTCTGCGCTGCAGACCATCCAGGGCCTTTTGGTCACCCAGGGAGGGGCTAGTGGCCAGTCCAGACTGCTCCTCACCACGGTGGTGGGCCTGTTCGCGGCCCCTGGCCTGCGTCTGAAGCAGCCATTTGTGCGGGGCCTGGCCCCCTTTGCCCCCGTCACCCTCGAGCGCTCTCTGGACTTGTCCACGGACCCAGATCTTGCCGCTGAGAAGATCAACACGTTCATGCAGGCAGTGACAGGGTGGAAAATGAACAGACCCCTGTCAGGACTCAGCCCGGATAGCACCCTACTTTTCAACACCTATGTCCACTTCCAAGGTAAGACAAACCCTGAGGGTGGGCTCTGCCCATGGGCCAGTGCCAGAGGGTGACAGTTTCCTGTGTCTATGGACTTGGTGCCCAACATTTCAGCTCAGCAGGGCCAGGCCTTGGGGGCGGGCAGAGTAGCACATGTCAGGAGGTACCTGGGAGTCACTCTCAAGGCAGGAGGAAGTAGCTGCCCAGTGGGCTACCTGGAGGAGTATCCGCCCACCTATCTGCTGCCCTACTCTGTGCAGCTACTAGAGTTCATCCTTTTAGTTTTCTCATCCAATCCCCTTGTGATGTGGTGAAGAGATGTTACTGCCTCTAGAGAGAAAAAACAACACAGTGACCTCCTCAAGAAGGCACAGCCACAAGTGGGGGGGGGGGGTCCCAGGATCCATGCCCCCACCCCCTGGCCCTGTGGCCCAGCTCTATGCTCAGGAGGAGAGAGGGGTTCCTGTCTCTTGGGAAGGTCAATGTCCATGCAAAAATAACCAATTTGTTTGCTTAAATCACTTTCATGTTGGGAGGGGTTATTACTCCCTCCTCCCCCGCAAAACAAAAAACAAAACAAACTCTATGAAGACAGTTCACTCATTCAATATATAATCATGGAAGATGTTTCCATGCAAGCCCCCCGAGTTGGGTGTCTCAGAGGGGCCAGGCAGGAAGGACGCACAGGTCCCCACCCCAGGTTGCCTATTTGAGCTCAACAGGGGCGCTAGGTCCCACAGGTGAACACCCGGGCTACAGAGCTGCAGCTAAAAGTGGCCGAAGAAGGTACTCTGGGGTGCTGAGCACCCAGAGGATGGCAGAGGCCTGGGGGGTGGGGGCTTGGGGAGCAGAGCTACAGGAGAAGAACGAACATGGGCGCAAAGCCTGGGGAGTTCAGGGCCAGGAACCGCAGCAAAGGGTGGCTGTGTGTGGCCAGAGCTCGGAACGAGGGAGTGTGGCCGGGGGAAGACAGGGCTGGAACGACGGGCCGGGTTCTGACTTGGAATCTGACGTTGGGAAGGCTGGCGGGTGTTGGAGTGGGGAAAAGCGTTCTGGCTAGAGGTCGCCCAGGCCTCCTGTGCCGTGTGCACCGGAGGCAGGGAGGGTCCCGGGAGCATTGCTCAACAGTGCAGGCAAATGCTCCCGGGAACACATGCCGAGGCAGTGGCTCCGCAAATTGATGGAGGGGACAGGGAGGGTGCGTTTGAGAGCTGAGTGAGCAAAGCGGCCAAATGATGGGACCGGAGCCAGAGAAGACAGAGGTTTAATAGAGCGTGGCTATTTTCTTACTCGGAAAATATCCTGGAAGTCTGTCAACTGCAAAGGGGAAGGACCTCCAGCCTGTTTTGGGTGCAGGAGGAAGAGAGTAGACCCGGCAATGCTCAGGTCCCAGGGCTGACAGGTTTCGGGAATGGAGTCCAGCCCTGGGGCCATCCGACGGAGGGGGGCCGCACCCCACGGAGGACAGAAGGGACTCGTGGGCTCAGCTCGCCATTCCTAAGAGGAGCCCCAGGAGGAGAGAACCCTGATAAAGTCGTGCCCCCAAAAGGCAAAGCTGGAAACGGGGACTCACTCTGGGAAGGCTCCAGTCCACGTGTTCACACGGAGCTGGACAAGAGGGGAGAGAGGAAAGAGAGAGAGAGAAAAGCAAACCGTGCTCAGGACGCCGAAGTTGGATGCACACCCAGCCCCACCACATCCTGCCTTCTGATCTCCCTCCCTGACCTTTCTGTGCCTCAGTTTCCATCAAACAGAGGCGCACAACCCCCTCCTGTCTGCCGCAGCGTGTCCACTTAATAAGGCAGTGGGACCTCTTGGGGGCTGGCTTTGTGTTCCCCTTCGGTAATGACCTTCTATCACTGTGACCTCAGCAGACAGTGGGGTGTTCCTGACGGGCAAGCACTTGGGGGTTGGGAGCCCGCAAGCTCCAGGGCGCCCTTTGCCCAGGCCCGGCTGTCATCCCAAGCTGGGTGCTGGCCCTGACAGGTTCCACAATGCGCGTTGACTTAACCTTGAGATATTTACTTAACCTCTGGATGAGGACAGTACGCTGTGCTTTTCTGATGAGCAGACAGGACAGGGCAGCCACCTCTGGTGGGAAAAGATTTAGTCCTTTCTTCCCCTAAACTAACAAGTCCTGGGGGGTCCCCTCGGGGAGCCTGGGAGGAAGGACTCTCCCCACGGCCTGACTATGAGGGGGCAGGGGAGGCTGGGTCCAGCCATCCTTTCGTGCCAGACCCAGGCCCTGGGAAGGCAGGCCCACGGGCAGCCTTGACCTTCCAGCCCCCGCCCCTCCACTTTGGAGACCCCTCTTCCCAGAAAAGGGAGCCCTGGTTCTTTAAGCTGCTTTTACTCAGACCCCCGGCTGCCCGGCACCCAGGGCTGCTCTGTGACAGTCACTCACCCTCATTCCCTCAGAAACAACCCCGACATGAGCCTCTCACAGTGGCTGAGGAGACTGCGGGGGGGCGAGGGACTGGGTCAGGGGCTTCGGTCACAGGGAGACCCCCAGGCACAGGGCCTTCAGCAGGAGCCTGTCCTGTCTCCCAGGCCAGCAGAGCCGGCTGGCGGCTCAGTTCCGCCACCGCATGCACGGCCCCATGGGAGCGAGGGCACCAGAGAGGGCGCGCCGTCTGCCCGCAGGGCCCGGTGCCAGCCTGCACAGAGCGCCTCTGCTCAGAGCCACCGGTCGCACCAGGTCGTATGTGCGTCCCTGGCAGCACGGGGGCCCTAGACACGTAGCCTTCATGACAGGAGGCACGTGCTCAGCTCTGTGTCCCAGGACTTAAGTCTCCGTCACAGCCAGCCCTGCTCACGGGCTGGAACATGAGTGTGCACGGTGTGTGTGTGCGTGTGTGTGCGTGCGCGCGCGGCAAGCCGTGCTACCGTTCTGGATGACACAGTGATGGTGGATGCGGGTCCTTGCACATCTGTCCAAACCTGCAGAATGTACAGGCCTGATGTCAACCACGGGCTCAGGGGCATGATGACACGTCCGTGTCCCTTCATCGGTGTTAATGAACGTCCCGTCCTGGTGGGGAAGAAAGCTGAATGTGTCAGGGGGTGGGGGGCACATGGGAAATCTCTATTCCTTCCTCTACATTTTGCTGTGAATTCACCAATTAAATTTGTCTAAAAAAAAAAAAAGAAAGAAAAAGAAAGAAAGAAAAAGTGAGCATGGCAGTGCCCAGGCTTTGGGTCAGGGCAGATCTGGGTTGAGTTACTCAGTCAGTTGTGGTGGAAGGTCCCTAAATTCCCTGCTTTCCCTTGTGGGCCGTAAGGTGACAGGTGTAAAGTGGCAAGGCAGCACCTGGTGTGCACAATGTCTTCACCACTGGAGGCTGGCGTCGCCGAGTAATCTTGTAGGAGGAAGACTTGACTGGCCCCTGGGGCCGGGGCTGGGGGTTGGTGAAGCGCTGGGTCTGGAGAACGCCCCCTCCCCTTCCCCGGGCTGTGTCTTTGGGATCTACCCTCCAGGTCTCGCCCCACCCCTGCTCGCGGCCCCCCACCCTGAGCCCACCCGCCGGTCCCTGCCTCGGCTGACCGTTTTCCCTCTTGGCCTCCAGGAAAGCTGAAGGGGTTCTCCTTGCTGGAGGGGCTCCAGGACTTCTGGGTGGACAACACCACAGCAGTGTCTGTCCCCATGCTCTCGGGCACCGGAACCTTCCAGCACTGGAGCGACACCCGGAACAACGTCTCCATGACCCGCGTGCCCCTTGGCAGGAGCGCCTCCCTGTTGCTGCTGCAGCCGCACTGCATAGCGGACCTGCAGCGGGTGGAGGCCCTCAGCTTCCAGCACGACTTCCTCACGTGGCTGAAGGACCTCACTCCCCGGTACGGCTCCCGGAAACCGCCGGCACCCCCGGGGCTGCTCCCCCGGGAACGCGGGGGTGGGGGGGCTGGGTCCGTCCTTCCACCCAGGGCTGGGGGTGAGCACACGTGCCGGTGTCGGCGAGCCCCGGGCACTGAGCAGGGGCGGTTCGAGGGCCTGTGGACGCCATCACATCTCTATCCATCCACCCACCTAGCTCTCAGTTTACCATCTCCTTCTGGGAGCAGGAGACGTAGAGCACAGCGCATGCCTTCCTTGGGCTTGCACTCACTCCCTGGTTTTGGGTGCCCGCGTTTCAATCCGCCCTGAGTCGGGGAACTTTTCGATGCCACTCCCCATTCCCCCCAACACACACGATCTCCTGCGATCCAAGAGCTTTTGGGGGGCCGACTTCCCAGATGGGTTTGTACCCTTCCCAGAGACCCAGGGAGGGGCTTTCTCGCGAAGCTGACCTCGACTCCACAGCTTCCTGGTCTGCTCCTCTTGACTCCTGTGGCAGGAAGAAAGCAATTCTCCTCCACTGGGGCGCTACACTTGACTTCCAACCCAGGTGCAGAGCAGTGGGGTACAGAAATCTGCCCCGAGAGAGGCACTCGGGGGTACAGTGGCCTCCTGAGGGCAACTCTCCTTTCTGAATCATTTTTGGTCGTGGTGGTTGGTACTCGCCCAACATTTACCGTGTGACCCATCTGTAGGTACACGTTTCAGTGGCATGAAGCACATACACATTTTTGTGTGGCCCTCACCACCATCTGTCCCGAGGATCTTTTCCCCTTCCCAAACTGAAACTCTGACCCCATTAAACACTAACTCTCCATCCCCCCTCCCACAGCCCCTGGCCGCCACCTTTCTACTTCCTGTCTCTGAATTGGTCTATTCTAGGACCCCAGATGAGTTTTGTGACTGGCTTCTTTCACTTGGCATGCTGTCCTCGGGCTTCAACCACGTTACAGCCTGTGTCAGAATTTCCTTCCTCTTTAAGACTAACATTCCATTATATGGATAGGCCGTGTTTTATCCATTCTTCCATCGATGGGCACTTGGGTCACTTCTACCTTTTGGCTATTGTGAATAATGCTACTATAGACATGGGTACACGGTCAACTCTTGCAAGGGTTTGGTACGTCACTGGAAACATCCATGGGCTCTCAGGGATGCCAAAGGAAGGTCAACTGAGTTGATGTAAGGAACATGGCCGCCACTGAGAGTGACAGGACATTCCCCCTGTCCCTCTCCCCTCCACAGGGGTTTCTACATCAAATGCACCACTGAAAGGTAGCTAGTAAGACATGATGAATTATTTCAGAGAATAGCATTTTAAAGTTCTCCAGGTGACACCCCTTCAGGTGCAGCCAACCTAAAACCAGAATGGAACAAAGAACAGACTGTTCACAGTCAAACGCCCAGAGAGCACGGCTGTTAAATGTCCGCCCTTCTCACCTTGTTTCCAAGGACCTGGGGGTTTTTGTTGTGTTTGTTGCTGACACGGTTTCCCGGAGACGGCCCAGCTGGGTGAGGGGGGCCCCGGGGCCTCACGGTGGGGGCCACCCGGCACCTCCCTAAGTGTGCGTCTCCCTCGCAGGGCCATGCGCCTGACCCTGCCCCAGCTGACACTGCAAGGCTCCTATGACGTGCAGGACCTGCTTGCCCAGGCCAGGCTGCCCACCCTGCTGGGGGCTGAGGCGAACCTGGGCAAAATCAGCGATGACCAGCTCAGAGTCGGAAAGGTATTGTGCTGGTGGGGCATCTGTCTGTGCCAGAGTCGATTCCACTTGTTCGCAGGGCGGGAGGTGTGGACGGGAGGGACACAGGGAGACGTGCAGGGCAAGGAGAGGAGAGCATGGCCAGGTGAGTATGCCCCCAGGGTGGGAGAGAAGGGACCAGAGCTTTCCGGGGCTTTCCGAGGACAGGTGGGGAGCAGCGAACCCTTCCCCGCCGTGTGTTCTGTGGCTCTGCCCAGCCCAGCCAGCCTCGGGGTCCTTCCCAGATGCTACAGCAGGGCCAGGACTTGGGCCACGGAAACGAGTGCCCCCAGGCCCAGTGCTGGCCAGAGGGCCGCCTGCTTCAGGGAAACGCTCAGCGCTAGGCAGACTGTCCCTGGGCCGTCTGGGATGACTCACCTCTGCAGCGGGGCCGTCTGGACGCTCTGGGCGCTGTGCCGGGGAGCGGATGGGCTGCTCACAGCTCTGGCCTCGGGGATCACTCTTCGAGTGATTCGCTCAGTGATTAGCTTAGTGATTAGCACAGCCCCTGTGCTAACTGAGTGGGATGAACCACACACAGGGGCGCACAGCCGAGGGGTCAGGGGCTTGGGCCCGGACAGCACCAGCAAGGTGGGAAGTGGAGGGCCTCTGGGGGCGAGCTGTCAGGTAGGTGGCTTGGGCCGAGTGGGAGTTGTCTACACTGAGAGGCGCGCCTGGTCTGGGCAGGCTGGAGAAACACCCTCGGGCGGACAGCACTGCACAGCTGGGTCCGAGAGCCTTCGGGAGCTGTCCCAATGCCTGCTTCCTTGCAGGTGCTGAACAGCGTTCTTTTCGAACTAAAAGCAGACGAGAGAGAAGAGCCCACAGAGGCCACCCAGCAGCCTGACGGGCCCGAGGCCTTGGAGGTGACACTGAACACCCCGTTCCTGTTTGCCATTTATGAGCAAGACTCCACCGCCCTCCACTTCCTGGGCCGTGTGGCCAACCCGCTGAGTGCGGCGTGAGGCCTGGGCCACCATGGAGCCGTGGCTGTCACCTTGAGCGAGGGCAGCGCCAATTTTGTCACCCATCTTCCGCTTTTCCTTCCACGGAGTCAGGGTGGGGCTGGAAGGAGGCCGTTTCTCCCTGGTCAACGTGGTGCTGTATATACTGAGCAGCGGAAACTGTGGGCAAAAGGCCTCTTGGGTTCTTAGATTTATCTTGGGCCCCGTTGTGTGGGGTAGAGTGTGGGGGCTCCAAGAACCAGAGTTTATTAGCACAGGATGGCTGTTCAGGAAAAGTTTGAACCGACCAACTGGTTGGTGAAATCAACAATGGTCTTCCTTTTCACCAGAGAACAGAAATTGGATTTTAAAATGATACAGTTTCCATGGCCCTGGGTTTATATCCGGTTACAGAATATGAGCACACAACCCGCATACGGTTTCCACGATGCCTTTGTTTTCTTGTTGGTTTCTTAGTTTTCTTTCCCAGGACACTGTGCTCTCTGAAGAACACAAGCGTCTGAATTTGTGTTAGAATCTTAATACCATGGCTGATTATCCCTTGTGTTATTAATAAATGTCTTGCAACAATACGCAAAGAAGGAAAATTCTTTCGATCCGCAGAGAAGCAAATATGTGCCATTTAGCTAACAGACTATACAAATACCAAGTGTTTTCAAGGGCTTTGAGCTGTAGTTCGGATGGAATTTCCATGGAAGGCGCGGGCTGGTAGTTGGTCACCGTTTGGAGAAGTTTTAGATGATGCTTTATTCTGGACGCTTCTGTCCCTAAGTGGCAGATGGGCATGGGGGTGGGGGCCCCAACGTGCAGCTGGGAAGGGACAGGGCATGCGGGCGCTTCTTCCTTCCTGGGGACACAGGGTTGGATCGCTGCTCCCATTGCCCGGGGAGTGGAAGACAGAACAGCAGATCCTTCTATCTGTTGAGTGCCTCGGAGGGGGTTAGCCCCCTGTGTTCTAAGGCTGGGGTGGGGAGGAGGTGGGCACCCGGAGCCCCACACTGTTGCTGGGAACAGTGCAGAGCTTCCTGATGTGCACATAGCCTTGTCTCCTCTCCCTTCCATAGCTGCGGAAGTAACCACGCAGGCTACGTAATACAGTAACCACTGACGATGGCTGCTGGACAGGCACTCAGGGGTGAGTGGGGATGACAATTTCAAAGGCGACCCAGCTCTTTCCAGTATGCGCTTTCAGAGATGTAAGCAGAAGCTTACGCTGGGTCCTGCGTGAGCGGTGACCACACTGCCCACTCGTGTCCAGGCCTCGTCCGCCCCCCTACGGGGTACTGTGGCCACAGTCCAGGGCGCTGGGGCTGGTCGGGCTTGTGCCGTGAGAGGCAGGCCTGCTGCTCTGACTGAGGCTCGGAGCTACACAGAACAGGAACAATGCCCTTCAAGCCCCAGTGTCCCCCTTGCGTTCCCAAGCACCCTGCTAGACTGGAACACAGTTCCCTGCTCTGATGTCAAGGTCAAGGGGACAGCTGGTCGTTCCCACTTCTGTGGCTGTGCTCGGGAGCATGGCATACAGAGACGGACGAGCTGAGCAGGAAGCCCAGATCCAACACTTACTGTGCCCTGGAGCAGGTGGCTTGACCCCTCTGGGCCTCCCTGCCCTTCTGTGCCAAGTGGGAAATACCTGAACGAATAAAAGAATAACAACCACCATCACATCAATGGCAGTCAGTCCATAGCAAAGTCAGGACCTCTGTCTGTCCGAAGTCCTGTTCCATAAATGTCCAGCAGGCAAAGGTCCTCCCCTAAAGCCTCCTGAGGGAGTACTCCCTGGCTAACACCTTGATTTTGGCCAGCGAGGTCCATCTTTGACTCCTGGCCTTAGAACGGTAAGGGAATGGATTTGTGGCAATGGGTCACGGCGGCAAAAGGAAACACACGCAGCAACCTTGGTACATATACTCGGCATGTCACCTAACAGCGCTGCTGGGGGCCCTTCGAGGCTGCTCCCCTCCCATTCCAAACTCTTCAGAGACTCCCCTCTGAGATCGTCTTCAAGAGCTGGTGTTCCCCGCCCCCATCTATTAAAGAGGACCACTGACCATACAGGGACCGCTGGGACTTGGGGGGTTAGGAGGGGAAATGTCACAGGGGAAGCTTCTGGGAAGGGCCTCGAGTCTGCAAACCCTCTGGCGTACAGGCAGCGCCCATCCTTGCCTTTGAAGTTGTCCATGAAGATCCCAGTTCCTGGACACCTCCCTCCTCTTCCCCAGACCAGCCTCTGCTCTCTGGCCGCACAGGGCCACCCCCCGCCACACAGCACACAGGTAGGGGTGGTTTCTTTGAAGCTCTCATGCACGTGGCCTGTCGCCTCCCAGGCAGCGAATGCGTCAGAGCAAGGGTTTCCGCGCCAAGCCCAGGCCTCACATGGTGTCAGGCTGGGCGACAATGGCCCCGGGTGGGACAGACACAGCACAGTGCCTGTGCTTTGCTTGGGCGCTTTGAACAGACAGCGGTCCAGGCGCCCTGCTGATGAACTGTGGGTGTTCATGGGGGTCCCCTGCTCACCGTTGGTAGGGACTCTGTCCCCCCTCCCTTCAGCAGCTCCCAGCCCACTGGCCCAGCCCCACTTTCACCTGGGTTTACCTCCCACCGTGCTCTGCGCTTCCTGGGTCCCTCTCCTCAGAGGCCCAGTGGGGGGCAGCAGCTGGCATCCAACTCCTCTCTGGTTTGGAAATGGCCACTGGATGTCAGGTCTCTGGGGAGAACTGGAAGTTCAGGAAGCAGGAGCGCATTAGAATCTCACAACCCAGGGCGCCTGGGTGGGTCAGTGGGTTGAGTGTCTCACTCTTGATTTTGACTTAAGTCATGATCCCAGGGTCATGGGTTCGAGCCCCGTGTCAGGCTCCGGACTGAGCGTGGAGCCTGCTTGGGATTCTCTCTTTCCCTCTACCCCTCTTGCCCGCACGTGCTCTCTCTAAATAATAATAACAATTAGAGTCTCACGACTCCACATGGCCCTTGGAGCAGAATCCACAGCCCCACCAGACCCCATCCTCAGCATCTGGTTTTCACCGGGAGTTGTTCCTCCGACCCCCCGCACCTTCTCCATGTGGATGCACATTTGTGAGGTGCTCAGGGTCCCCAGGGAGCCCCAGGCACCACCACCGATGTCCTCCTGACTCGGAGGCCATGGTTTTGAAGTCGTCCACGGAGACCTGAGACAGCACCATCCCGCTGCAGCTTTGGGAACGGGACACCGGGGTGTCCTAACTTCATTTTAGGAAGCGACAGGCAGCTGAGTAGTGCATCTCTCTTACCGCACGGGCTGCTGGGGCTCGAGCAGTTGCTAGGAGTACGATGTTGCTAACGACCCACTGCTGTTCTTTGTCCCCGGCTCTTTTGTAAGCGGGAACTGGGTCAGGATGTTACCAGGATACAAAATACTGGCGTTTCACACATTACTTAACACCAAAATATTAATTCTGGGGGTCTGTCTGCCGTCAATCTTTCTTCGCTAAATCCTAAGTCTTCCTGGGCTTGCAAAGTGCTTCCCCAGTAGACAAGAGAATGATTCAGCTGCTCCCGCCGCCTCCAGCCTGAGGTCCCTGCTCAGGACCTACGGCTTCCCACGGCCCACCCACCAGATCCCGAACCTTCACTGAGTTCGGGAAATGAAAATGATGTTTGTTTGTTTGCTGCCCATTTCCAGCAAACTCCAACCTGAACAGGCTGCTTAAAGATGCTCCCGTTTCAGAAGCTTATAGCGGGGGAGCGTCCTCTCCTCACTGCAGACAGACCCATGTGTGTGACGACCGGGTGCTGCCCCCGAGCCCACTGGGACGCCATGCGGGACACAGGATGGAAACCACTTGCCCTTTCTAAAGTCTGAAAAATTCTAGGCACTGAAACATGTACTGAAGGTTTGGGACAGACTTTGGATTTCAATATCATCCCATGTGTCCCCCCCTCCCCAATAGAATTTATGTTTTTAGTGCAGTTTTGGGCTCGCAGCAGAACTGAGCAGAAAGTACAGTTCCCATATGCTAATAATAGGATCGACATTTGGTGTCCTAAAAACCCTGTGCTCCACCTGTTCACCCCCAACTCCCGCCACCACCCATCTTTTCTGTCCCCATAATTTTGCCTTTTCCAGAATGCTGTAGAATCTAGGGTGTAGGCAGCCTTTTTCGGATTGGCCCCTCTCTTAGCAATATGCATTTAAGATTCCTCCAGATATTTCCATTTCTTTTTAGGACCGATCGACATCGCACTCTCTGGACGGACCATTTATTTATCCGTCCACATACCGAAAGACAACTTGGTTGTTTCCAATTTTGGGGGGCAAATATGAATAAAAGCTGCTGTAAACATCCATGGGCAGGCTTCTGTGCAGACACAGGTTCGCCATGTGGTTTTTAAAGCTGCAGAACACAGAGCAGATGTTCTAGGCACGCCTGAGAGACTCTCACAAACACCGTGCGTGGTGAATGTCAGGGGCTCCATCAAGTTCAAGGGAGTGAAGGGCCCACAGCCCACCTCCCTGAACTCAGGGCTCCTCCATGCTTCTGTCGGGTTACCTGCAAAGTTACCCTCTGAGGACTGCTGTTACGCTGTTAAGTGGGTCCAGACCAGTCTTTGGTTTGGGTTAATCTGGTGCCGCTCCTGAGGCCAGTCCTTCTGAGGATTCTGTCTGTGGGTGCTGTCAGAGCCTTTCCAATCTGCCAGTGGGAACACACGCTACGCCCGGGCCCCCTGAGCTCTGAGGGTGATCCAACCTCCTCCTTTCTAGGAACGCTTTCCTCACCTCGATGGCCTCCTGCCCCACCAGTAGCTAACCAGCACCCAGCTGGACAAAGTGAGCCACCCTCCTCTCCATACTCTGTCTCCAAGTTCTGGCCTCGTTGCTCCCCAACGACCCCCCAACTCCAGACTCTCTCAAATCAGAGTCGCCAGCTCAGGGGCCTCCTGTACTCAGGTGTGGATACTGTCCACACACAGCCCACCTCGTTTCCCTTCTCTCTGGGATCCCACTCTGCTCTTGTCCATTGTCCACACAGTGCTGTTTCAGATGTTTGGTGTGTTGTTTAGCTGTTTAAGGTGGGGCAGGAATTCAGGTCCTAACGTTACTGGACTACCTCATGGTCAAAACACCACCTCAAAGATCAAGAACGCATTTCAGCCCGACGTTAACAGGAGTGAAGAAGAGACGAGAGTCCAGATTGTTCCGGGGTTCAGTGTGACAGTGACGACAGGGCAAGTGGAACACAGAGGCACTTCTCAAGTCACAGGAAGGCGTGACTTCCCTCAGGATGCCTGGCAGTTCTTCAGTGAGGTGGGGAGTGCCGGAAGGGGTGCCCAGGTCAAAGACAGCGTGCCCTTCAGAGCTGCCTGACCAGTGGAAGAAGGACGGAGGGGGTGGCTGCTTCCTCTCAAACAGTGGGAGCTCTCTGCCTGGGACGTCTGGTGGCCAACCACGAGGGGTCTCTCTCAGAGGTCACGATGCCAAGAGCAGAGAACATAAATGGTGCCTTCAGGTAAGAACCCCCAGAAGACCTTGCTCAACGTCTGATGTTCGGCACCATTCTCCAGTTCTGAAACATGAACTTGAGTGGGAAGGTCTCCGCATTCTCAATGGTAGGGTCACGTGGATGCCCATCCTCTCACCGCCAGGGCAGCTGCCGTCCTTAAGGCAGAGTAGCACGCAGCCCCTGAAGGAAGCTCAGTGCCGGCCTCCTCTGTGCCACAGGTCCGGGGCTGCCCTGCCTGAGGCCGTGAGGCGTGGACACACAGGGGCAGCCTTTTGCACAGGCAGGGTCATGGCTGAGTGGTTCTCACCAGGTGACCACGGAGTGTGCAAGGAGCTGCAGAGAAACACGGGTAAAGACCCCCAACAGGAGACGGGGGGTGGGGTGGGCGGTGTAGCTTAAGAAGCTCCAAAAGCTGTTTGGGTTTTCTTCCCCGTCTTCTTCCTGGACACACAGCTAGGCCCTTTCCAGCCCGTGTGGCCAGGCTTCGGCCCCTGGAGCGTGGGGAGGCGTGGTGTACTCTCCCACGTAGGGCCACGATCGCCCCCTGGGGTGGCCCTTCACATGCTTTCCCTTTCCTGGTTGGCTGCAGCAGAGGCCAAATGGCGGCCCCCAAATTGTCCACGCACATCCCAGCCCCTGGGATCTGTGCCCGTGACCCTACTGGGCAAAGGGGCCTTTGGGAATGTAATTTAGTTGGGGACCTCACGAGGAGATCCTCCCAGGTGAGGCAGGCGGGTCCTAAATCCAACGACAGTGCTCTTGTAAGGGACAGGAGAGGAGACACGGAGAAGCGCGGGAGGCCACGTGAAGGCAGAGGCAGAGGCCATCATGAGCCGAGGGAATCCCTTGAGCCACGAGACGTGGGACAGGCAAGGGGGAGAGGAGTGCGGCCCAGCTGACGCCCGATTTGGACTCTGCCTCCGGAACCAGGAGGGAAGAGAAGCCTGTCGTTTTCAGCCACCGTGTTCGGGATAATTTGTTACAACAGCCACAGGGAACTAACAGGAAGTCACCCTCAGGCGGGGCACAGAAGCCACAGGACGGAGGAGGTGCCTAGCAGGCAGCCAGGGTCCCTGAAGGACGGTGTGGAGCTCCCACCCACTCATCCCTGCAAACACCCCCACCCACTCATCCCTGCCTTCCTGGCTCCACATTACATTGGCCAGAAAGACTCCTGTGCTTGAGACTGCTTTTAGATTCTGCAGGTTATAAGTTAAAAAGTAATTATAGTTTTACTGTAAAAATGGATTATTCATCTTTCTATAAACTTTGTTCAATTGTGACTCTTCAAGGCAAAGCTAACAAAACACATGTCAAGTGAAAGAAGGTGCTCCGGGGAGCCAGGGATACGTGTTCTGGGACGTTGTGCTGGTTACTAAAGGATCTTGTTCCTTCAGCCTGGAAACGGGTATCGGAACACCACGGGTGTTGCCTGGAACGAGCCCAGAAACGCGGGATTCCTGAACCCAGGCCGAGCCTGGGGTTTGACTGGTGTCCGGGAAATGGACGACTGGGGCCCCAACCCTGCGCCATCAGCCCCTCTGTCCTGATGCTGGTGTGAAGGAGGGAGAGCTCCCTGCTCCTGAGCAAACTGGACTCTGGAACTATCCTGCCTGGGTTTAAATTCCACTTCTTAGTCATCTTAACTCCTTAATTTCTGTTTCCTCATCTGCATAACGGGGATAAGCTCGCTGGAGATGGAGGGGCTAATACGCCGTGTCCTTGTCAACCACGTTTTGAGACAAATGTGAAAGGAAAGCAGCCAGGGAGGGAGAAGTGAAACTGAGGCTCCTGCCGACCAGCGCGGGGCCAGATGGGGGTGCTCAGCCAGGGGGCTGACCGGGCGGGGAGGCAGACCTCGGGTCTCCACTCCCAGAGCTCCTGGCTGGCAAGGCAGGAGGTGTGTGCTGCCCACAAGGGCATGCGTGCACGCAGAAGCCCCCGGGGGCCCAGTCACCCAGGTGGCCCACACGGCTCCCGGAGAGATGCACAGGCCCCGCCGGACCTCCCTCCAGTCTTGGGCCCGGTGCGTGCACGGCTTCAAGGAAGCACACCTAATGCACGCCCATCGCTGAACTTGGGGACCAGGGGAGGGGGCGGGGAGGGAGGCAGCAAGAGACAAATGTGGGGGCCAGTCTATCCCCACTGGTTGCAGGCTGGCCTTGCCCTCTCACTTCATGTCCAGCCTCCTTCCCGACCGCCACTCCCCCTTGCTGCCTACGGGCCCAGCACCACGCACTGCGCACCGCGCACCACGCAGAGAGGCAACGGCCAGTGCCCCGCAGCCACGCGAGGTCCACGCCTGACGCCGAATCCCTTCTGCTCTTTCGCCCTCAGGGTGTCTGACTGGATGCCCAGTACCAACCAGTCGGAGCTGCCACAGTGGGGGCAGGGCACCGGCTTCCCCCCACCTCTTGCCCACATCCCCGCAGCCTCTCCCTCCCGACACAGGGGGCATGGCTCTGTCGCCCCCTCACCTGCAGGAGGACCACCCGCTGGGGAGAGCGAGAGGCAGATGCCCTCGAGGAAAGGTGCCCAACCTGGTTTCACCGGGAGGGGCACTCAACCCGCACCGGGTGCACAAGTACAAGCCACGTGCTGCTGGCAGACACTTCTTTATTCAGGAAACTCGTCTTCCTAGAGGTCCCAGCTCCTGCCGGGACAGCGTGACCAGACGCACTCCCGCTGTGCACCCGGTGGGAGGATGCCTTTCTCCAGGCGTCACGAGGAGTCACGGCGTGTGCCGACTTTCCGGGGCAGAGGACAGGGAGCCACCCCACACGGTGGCCCCCTGCAGGTGGGCGCTTCCGACGGTGGGATCGGATTGGGGCCCAGCCTTCCAGAGTCATACCTATATATTCACTTTAATCCTATTTTAGAAATCAGCTCTTCCACGCTAAGATTTACAATAAAAATAAAATAATTTGCTCTGTAAACTATAGTAGAAAGTTTCAAGTGTCTTAAAAATGATCTTCCATACAACGGAAAAAGGCTTCTGTGTTCTGTTCTGGGAGGGAGGAGACCCCAGCGGGCGGAGAGCAGCTGCGCTAGTGCGTCGTCCAAGACGCCGTGGAAGCACTTCTTGGCCGCGGGGACCGGGAGCAGGGACGGAGCCACTTTCTTCCCTTCCAGCTCCATGTCCAATGTCCCCCTCCCTGCAGGCCCTCCCGGATGCTCATGGCTGCTCTGCCGTTGCCTGGTCCTTGGCGGCAGCAACCAGCTCGGCGAGTGCTGGGAAGCTCTTTATGTCCTTTGTCGCCAGGCCCATCTTTTGTATCTGCAAAGGCCAGGAGAGCAGAGAAAGGCACAGCGGTTTGAGCTGAATGTGAACAAAAGACCCTTCTAAAGAACCTGCAGAATGGCCACCCCCTCCCTCTCCGGAATCAGACCAGGGCAGTTCCCCAAAGGCTGGCACGGTAGTCTCCCTTCACGGCCAAGGCTAAGGGCCTACTTATCGTAAGGCTTCACTTTTAGGGTTAATCACTCCCCATTAGAAGATGCCAGTGTGTTCATTTATCTCAGTCCATGGGATCGGGCTCTTCCCAGGGGAAGGGCCTCTTTTGTGGACTGGAAAGGAAAACTCACACGAACAGAAGTCACAAAGTGAACTATTTTTTAAATGGAGAGTTTTCAAAAAAAAAAAGCCTTGGCCTGAGCACTTTATTTCTTCACATTGTCATCAACGGCCTTTTCTTCAAACTTGATGGACTGTGGACCCCGTGGCAGGGCCACTACTGTGGATTGCCGTGGTAACCGAGTCAGGATATACCAAATGCCCGCTGTTGTTAACCACACACATACATGCCCACACACGCACACAGGAAAATCTGGAAAAACCCACACCAAGTATTTAGCATCTGTTGGTGTGCTGCTGTTCGCTCTGGGGACCGGGGCCCAAGGAGCACCAGCTCTTTTCCTGCACCCCCAGGCTCCCTTCTTTCTCTGGCTTCTCTGTTCTTCGTGTTTCTTTAACAGACTGTCCTGTTTGTAAAAGGACTACAAGCTTCTCCTGTGAGATAAAGAATCAGGGCAGTGGACTTCTGCCGCGGGATAGATCTCTGAGTTCACATCAAAGCAGCAAATTTCAGCTCTCCAGTGAGGCTCTGATGTGCTAGAAGAGCAAGCAGCTCCTGAGGGGAAGTGTCTTCCAGCCACAACATCCCCCTGGGCGACGTGTGCTATACAGGGACCCTGAGTAGTTTAGAAAGCCAGCTTCTCAAGAACAAGAAGTTTCCTGATCTTTGAGCGAGTCGCCTCTGTGAACAGAGGCCTTGCACACAACCCACATCTGACTCCTGCGTGATGCCACGTACAGCAATGCTCACGCACCTGCCGGGACGCCAAAGCCCGTGTTTTCTGGAAACCAAGAGAACTCAGGCGGGGAAGCACAGAGGTGGGGCTCGCACCATCTCTCAAGGGCCACACTGAGAAATCCATGGGCTGAGGCTTCTCTACTTTTTCTAACCACCAGACCGCATGTCTGGCACTCCCCCGGCGGGGGGCGGAAAGGACACCGCCTCCATCTGGGAGCTCGCCCTCTAGCGGCTCCGTGAGCCCAGCGCATGTCAGCTGCACCGAAGCCCAATTCGTCGGACTTCAACTGGCAATTTCCAGTATTCGTGATGCACATCCCTTCCCTTCAAGTGTTTCGAGGCCCTGACCCCTTCCCCCAGCCCCGGGAGTGCTCGCCGCCCCCGCCCCCGACCCAGCAGCACGCCTGGGCTCAGGTGAGGCACTGGACCACGGCTCGGTGGTTACCTGCTCTCCCAAGTACTCGACGTCCAAGGCCAACTGCAGCCTGATTTTGTCGTCGTCGCTCATGCCGCCACCGGGACCCACGGGGTTGGCGGGAGTGGTTCTCCTGGCTTGTTTCAGCCGCTTCAGGCTCTCCTCCATTTTCTTCACCGAGTTCAGAACGTCAGACACGGTTTCATAGTACCTGGAGCACAAGACCCGCTTCCTGGTGAGCGGGAAGCACTCGTGTGCACGCGCACACTGACCGGCTTTGTGGGCCAAAACAGATTTGTAAGACATTCATTCATTTCCAACGAAAGAAATCAGCTGTGGTGAACCGATCAATGTTTCTTAAGACTGAGAAAAAAAGGGGTCTTGACTCCCTAGCACCACAATCCCTCTGAACTTCTGAAATACGCACGTGGACTCTTCCCAGTTTTCGCCCCGGACACAGTCTTTCCTACTTGAAGGAAGAAAGGCTGGCGCTCACTTCCAAGTAACAGATTCATTTACGGTCAGTTCTAGGAGCAGTTCATCTTGTAAAGAACAGAAACCTTTCAAGTTCTTAAATGAAACTTATTGCCTTCACAATACTCTCAATATCATTTGCGGATTACAAATGAGTTGCATTTCAAAACTTGGTTTACCAGCTGGTTACTTGGCACTTGGAATATACTTGCCCACAAAAACAGGATTCTAATTCACTGTGATGTTCTAAATGAACCCACAAATATCCCTTAACTCAGAAGTAATTGAAATAAATCAAGTACCACTGAAAATAATGAAACAAAATTCAGTAACAAAACTGAATGATATACTTTTGACATAACTCAATGCTGGCATCTGGGGGAGAAGTCTATTCACTGGGAAATGAAGGGACATGCAGCCAAAGGGATTCTGAAGACCTCCTGATGTTTCCAAGGGCTGCAGGGTTTTAGACACCAAACATTTATCAATTGTAATTATGTGTCAGAACGTGTTTTCTCTTCCTTGGCTGCAGCGGTCTCACCTGTCTGCACTTTCGATTATCTGGCGTGAGCAGAGCCACTGTGGACAAAGCTGAGGAGAGCGCGGATCGTACAGGAAAATGTATGCTTGGATGTGCAGGAAGAGGCCTGCGTGAAACACACCCTGGACTCCAAAAACTGGGTGCGCTGGGGAACCGGATGTGCCCGCACCCCCAAGAACTTGACCTTGGCTGGCAGGTAGGCCAGGTAGAGGCAGGGGGCCCATTGTGTTCAGCGCAGGGGAAGTGGGATGAGGGCGGCTCAGCCACCAGCACAGGTGTGAGCACCTGCACCTGACTGGCCCAGCAGTCACCTCACCCCCTGGTCACACAACATGCAACCCTCTGATGGCCTCCGTGGTCTCTGACTTGGGACTCTTCTAAGAAAGTCTGAAATGGTCCACTGTTTTTTTTTTTTTTTTTAATTTTTTTTTTAATGTTTTTTTTATTTATTTCTGAGAGAGAGAGACAGCGTGAGCGGGGAGGGTCAGAGAGAGAGGGAGTCACAGACTGAAACAGGCTCCAGGCTCTGAGCTGGCAGTCAGCACAGAGCCCGACGTGGGGCTCGAACCCACGAACCGTGAGATCATGACCTGAGCCCAAGTCGGACGCTTAACCGACTGAGCCACCCGGGCGCCCCTGAAATGGCTCACTGTTAAGGCACTTACTTATGAGTGCTCTCACAGAGGGCGCCTTCCAGCCACTGTCGGATTATTGCCGGTCTCAGCTTATCCCTGTGCCCACTCTGCAGCTGGCGAAAGGGCTTCAGGGCACTGTCCACGTAAGAGGAGGCTGCTGTCGGCACTTCCTGGAATAATGACGGAGGAGGTGGGGAAAAAAGGGACAGAAAACCAAGAGTTACTCAGACTGCAGAAGGATGCTACTAATGCACAAACCCCATCCCTCCCAAACAGTAGCACTGACTGATGTTGTCTCCAGAACGATCCCTGAGGCCAGGGGGCTCAGGAAGAGCAAAGCAAGGGAAAATGTTTAGAGCCAGAGAGAGGGAGAGAGAGAGGAGTACTTCAGGGCACACACGCAGGGCCTGGGAGAGCGGAGACTGAGATGGTGCATGTCTGATGGGCTCCCACCAGGTGATGCTAATGTTGCTGGAGGACAGACTGAGACGCGAGGCTCTAGGGCGAGTAACTGGACTGTTCTCAGCTTTAGTTCCTTCATCTGAGAACAAGGACACAGGCGCTCACTCTGGAGAAGAGCAAATGAGAGTATCTGACCCACAGTGCCCGTATCGGACCCGCAAGCACTTGGCCAATACACCAGACGGTAAAGCCGGTAGCTTCCGAAAGGACAATGAACGTATCTGGGAATACAGAGTAGGTCTCTCTCTCCCACTCTGAAGCGGGAGCTACAAGGCCGACCAGAAAGGGGAAATGAGGGGGCCGAGTTCCCCTGCTGGAAGTGGTAGTGCCATTGCATGCCCCGGTTTCACAAAAGCAGCCACAAGGGAGATTCCCCTCCGTGTCCACTGAACACTCCCTGCCTCCTGAACACAGAGTCAGATGGGAAGAGTCACACAAACGGGACAAGACGTCCATGCTCAGCACACAGCAGAGGCCGCCCTAAGCCAGGCATGTGGAGGGGCTCCAGGGGAGGCTCCAACACGGCACCTCTCAGGGAATTTCCACAGGTCCTCAAAATCATTTCAGTGCTAAACTGCCTAACACCCAACTCTTTTCTCTACCAGGAAAAAAGAAAATCCAACAGAAAATGAAGGGAGATGTATCAAGAAGGAAAGGGGCGTATCAATGCACAAAAATAAGAGCTCAGGAACGGAAAGGAAAGCTCTGGGCAAAACGACTTCCCCGAGTCCGCCGTTCTACCAAATGAGACAACAGAGGAATTCGATTCTGAACCCAGGGTGCGGGCTCCCTTTTTCATCTAAAAGACGCTTCTCGTATCCCTAATGTGACTTTGCAGATCTTTTCAAGTTATACAACCAGACACCAGGTACTTGCGAGGACGGTATGAAGGGAGCAAGGTAAATTCGACTTTTTTTTCAAATATAAGATACAAAGTCTAGGCACTACAAACATTTTGTTAAAACACTTTCTTTTGGAGTTATGACTATCTTTCCTAAGGTCAAAGGCAGCCAGGAAGAGTCCGTACCGTGTGAGGCCTGCCTCGGACTAACCCCGGGTACCTATTTCTGGGTCTCCCTCCGTGGCTTTCCTGCTCTGGGTTTCCCCACCCCAAACCTCCTGCCAGTGAATGGCGCTGACCTTGTTGGTTCTGCGGTAGAGCCTGGGAACCTCCAGGGCACTTTTCAGGTAACTGAAGCAAGACTCACTCAAGTCCTGGATGATTCTGTCACTCAAGGCCGGGACACAGGCGCACAGAGATGTCCGGGAGTCCTCCAGGGCTGCTGTCGAGATACAAAGGTGGAGTTTAGCCGCTTCGTCAGGCCCGGCTGTGGATTTCACTTTAGACACTGTCACTATTTAGAGGGTGTACAATAATAAGCTGAATCGAATCAAAGTATTAGAAGTCAACAAAATATCTCACTTGGAGAAGCTATAATCACAGGACAGTATACAGAAGGAACCAAGGATTTACAACTAGAAAACGGTAGTTTAAATATGTACTACAGGCTCTACAGTTTTATTTTAAATGATTTCTTATTCAAAGATTTGCTGAGTCTAAGGATTTCATTTTTACCTGAGATAGAAGAGAAATTCTTAAAGCCAATCATTTCAAGTTTTGGCTTGATTGTTTCCAAGAGTTCTGGAAGCTGAAATAAATATGCACTTTATATATTCAGTTGCTTTTAATCAACCACAGAAAGAGGCAATTCTACTCGTATCTATAAACTCTAAAATACTATTAACGAAAGATGAAACTAAACCCAAGGCTTCCTATCATTTTCATCAGAAGAAAGCAAAACTCTGAACACTTTCGCTAAAGCAGAATCTGACGCCACGGCAAACTGCAGCCCACGGCTATTAACAGGCCCAGGGAATAAGCAAAACCATTTTCTATTGTGTGGCTTTCCCCTATACCACCAAAAGAAAACAGAATTATGTTATCAGAGCACTCAAATACAAATTCGGCCCACAAAGCCCTCTTGATGATAAAGGCCCGAATCGTGGACATATGCCCAGAGAAAACAGGGGGAGAAGTTTTCACGGTTCACTTTCCAAGTACAGGCGAAGGTTAAATGTTGCCAGGATAATATGTGGTCAAGTGGGGGTGGAAACCATTAAAATCCAACCCGACGAAGTGAGCGGAGCTAGTGAGCAGGGAGCACGGCTCACTCGGCGCTGGTGATGGGAGCCCTGAAAAGGCAGCAGAGACCCCCCCGGGTTCACGAAACATGAGAGCAGACTGATAAGCAAGGAGGCAGAGGGCCTCCCTGCGGGGGAAAGCTGGAGAGGGCCCTCGGAGTGCTGGTGCACCTGCTCTCTCTGGACACCCCTGGGCCCCACGATTCCAAGCCCCCAGTCCTTGCACATATCATTTGCTATGAAAACACCCAACTGAGCACCTGGACTTGCGGGACACAGGCCTACCTGCTCCTGCAGCCTGTCCAGGTCGGCGACCACGTACACAAGGTGTGTGCTGGAAATGGAAGCCACGGACTTTGTTTCCGAAGGGCCACCTCCTTGGTCTTCGCCATTTCCCTGGGTAACTGAGGGATCTTTGCTAGTGGTTCCCAAAGGCCTTTTGATATCCTTGGCACTTTCGTTAGAGATGGGCCTGAGTAAAAGCTGAAAAACGGTTTCCGTGATTAACTTTTTTTCCTGCCTGTCACATGCCAGAGCATTTATTTTTGTCCCCCATCAAGGGACAGCTGTCTGCAAACTGTTCAGTAGAAGTTTACCAGCGAAAGAACAACAAGGAGAAACGAAGTCAAACTACAACCCCGCGTACATTTATCCTCCTTAGCGCGTGTCTAATTTTGAGTGATAAAAAGTAATAGGCAAAAGTAAACTAGGTCTCTAAACTAAACCAAATGAAAATTAATTTCCAGAGTATCATGGTTAAAAAAAATTCATTAGCTCAATTAGGTAAATCCTTTACCAGGTTTGCTCTGTAAATTTATCTAATGCTGATTATAATTAATAAGGATTAAAAAAATCAAAATCCAAACCTCACCACGTTTCAAATAATATAGACAGAAGTGTTATTCGCATAATGTATTGTTACAAGGGAAAAACCAAAGAGAAGTACCCCATCATAAGGAAAAAATGGAATAATGAACACTGGAGGCAAAATTATTTATTAGAGACGTAAGAATTATTGGCTGGTAAGAGCGCAGGACTCAGCCGACTCAGGCCTAACTGAAGAGTTGCACCAACCCCGCTGTGTCCGCAGAATTAACTGCACAGGGGTCTTCAGAACAGCCTGAAGGGCAGGGTGGTCTGCTAAGACCCTTCTGAGCAGAGGAAGGTAAAAGGAGAAAAGAAAACTAGTTTCTCTGAGCTCCCAGAATCTGCCGGGCACTTCTGTCAACAATTTGATGCTCAATGTATCCCTTTTTACTCCTCACAACCACCACATACAGAAAGTGTTTCCCCATCTTACAGGTGAAGAGTTTGGGATCCCTGCATCTAAGTTTCCTAAGGCCACAAAATTTAAAAGTGGCAGAACCTAGGGGTGCCTGGGTGGCTCAGTCGGGTAAGCGGCCACCTGGACTTAGGCTCAAGTCCTGATCTCAGCGTTTGTGAGTTCGAGCCCTGCGTCGGTGCAGAGCCTGCTTGGGGTTCTCTCTCTCCCTCTCTGCCCGTCCCACTTGTGCTCTCTCTCAGAATAAGCTTAAGTGGCAGAACCTCAGTCTGACGTGAAAGCCCGTCTAATGGAAGGATCCATTAGAAGATTCTGCAAGACAACGTGGGGCTTCCCCTCCTGCTCCAGTGAAGACTGCAATCCTTCTGACAGATGAGGCTCCTAATGTTGTCCTTCCTGAGAATTTGCTTGCGCCTAGGCCTATTTTCATACGTATCACGCACAGTGAACAGGCTGCACGCCCGTCTGTCCCCTGGGACCGTCCGGGTGGAGGCAGGGCCCCTCTGAGAACGAGACGCTGGCACGGGGTCTGCCTAGGTGCTCAGCGCCAACCTGTGCAAACCCTATTGTGGTGAAGAGCCAAAAATTAAGTCCTCCATTAAGAGCAACCTCGGGCTGCACGTGGCCCCAGTCTCAGTTCCAGTTCCAGGAAAAGCCTCAGACTGTTCAAGGCTAAAGCCATCCTCGGACCGCCCTCAGTTCAGCTAATCAAAAAACATTCCTATGGTCTGAGTCAAGGCTGGGAACTGCAGATACTAACTAGCCAATTTCTCACCGCTTGCCTGAACCCCACGTGGGCCCTTTGAACTCACCTCATAATTGGTCATTTTCAAAGTATTCTCAAAAGTCATGATTGGGTCCCACCAAAAGTAATGAACGCCTCACAGATACTGAATGGTCAAAGCTGTAATTGTAATTGGTGCTTATGTGATGATGTTACATGTACTGTAACACCCCCATCCCTTACTCCTTAAAAACCCTGTTCGCTATTGTTCTTCGCTTCATCTTGCTGCCACGACACGGGTAGGCAGATGAGCCCCTGTTCGAGCATGTAATAAAGACCCTTTTGTATTCACATTGGTAACGGCTCCTTGGAGGTCTCTGGGAACTCGCGAATCGGGCACAACAGTGGCTGTGAGCGTGACACCTGATAATCTCCAAAGGCATGTGGATACCTAATAGAGTCAAGTACTCGGCGAGGAGAAGAGGAGCGTATTCTGAAATGATGGAAAGGTTGACTAATATCATTACCTTTTAGTCTCGATGATCGTACGATTTTTTTCAACTTCCAAATACTATTAAAATGTACATATTTTTATTTCTACTCATTTTCATTAAAATGAGCATCTTTGTTTTAATTTCGAGGCACCTGGGAGACTCTGGCCTTGAGACAGGAAAGCAAGCTAGTCAGGACAGTGCTTTTCCATAAGAGGAAGCACTGAGAGGGTAATTACGGCCCACACAGGCAACAGCGGCAGGAAGAAAAAGGTAACAAACACTGGATACAAACTTGAGAAAAGAGTTGATTGCTGTCCTCCAAATTACCTCTCGTGACAGCCTGGCCTTTAGAAGTCTTAGCGCCTTTAGCTCCGTGCATAAAGATGAAAGGATCTTTAATTCTTTTTTTTTTTTAAGTGTTTATTTATTTTTGAGAGAGAGAGAGAGAGAGAATGAGAGCAAGGGAGGGGCAGGGAGAGAGGAAGACAGAATCTCAAGTAGGCTCTGTGCCATCAGAGCAGAGCCTGGCTTACGGCTCAAACCCACAAACTGAGATCATGACTTGAGCTGAAATCAAGGATCTCATGCTTAACTGACTGAGCCACCCAGGTGTCCCTCCTTAATTCTTTTTTTTTTTTTAACATTTAAAAAAAATGTTTATTTTGAGAGAGAGAGACAGAGAGCGAGTGTGTGTGGGCAGGGGAGGAGCAGGGAGAGAGGGATTCAAGCAGGCTCTGTGTCATGAGTAGAGCCTGACTGACACAGGGCAGAGCTCGAACCCACAAACTGAGATCATGACTGGAGCTGAAATCAAGGGCTGGATGCTTAACTGAGCCACTGAGGTGTCCCTCTTTCATTCTTTTTTTTTTTTTTAAACATGTTTTTTAATGTCTTTTACTTTGAGAGAGACAGAGAGCAAGCAGGGGAGGGGCAGAGAGAGAGGAAGACAGAATTCGAAGCAGGCTCCAGGCCCTGAGCTGTTAGCACAGAGCCCAACGCGGGGCTCAAACCCACGGACTACTAGATCATGACCTGAGCTGAAGTTGGATGCTTAACCGACCGAGCCACCCAGGTGCCCCTTAACATTTTTTTAAATGTTTATTTATTTTTAAGAGAGAGACAGAGTGCGAGCAGGGGAGGGGCAGAGAGAGAGGGAGACACAGAATCTGAAGCAGGCTCTAGGCTCTGAGTCATCAGCACGGAGCCTAACGCGGGGCTCAAACCCACAGACCGCGAGACCACGACCTGAGCCGGAGTCGGACGCTTAATCAAATGAGTCACCGAGATGCCCCCTCTTGAATTCTAAATGGTTGTGATTCGGGATGAGCTGCGCAGCCAGCCCTCACCTCCCTGACAAACACGGAGTACCGGGCCAAAATCTGCAGCGTGAGCCTCCAGAGACGATGCACCAGCACCGGCAGGAACATCTCATCTGACCAGCACCTCTGAAGGCTGCTCCACGTTCTGTGAGAAGCCAAAAGGCAAAATGCACTGCCAGCTAAGGAGAAAAAAACAGACGTGTAAAGAATCTCAGGCAATGCACAGCCAAATTGTAGTATTTCCAAAGCATAATTCAAGAGCAGAGAAAGCGGCCATAATCCATGTTTCACCTTTCGAGGCACCGTGTTTCCTGATTTTGCACAATTCCCCTTCCCGGATGTCTGATACATAGTGAACACATACGATATTCAGAAATCACTTGTTAATCGGTTATTTTACACCAAGTCACAAACACAAGCTGGAGTGGGTCACTTGCAAGGGTTGCAGCTTCAATTCTGAATCTGTCTTGTTGCATCTGTCTGCTCTTCCGTTCCCCTACCAGGAACACGCTCCACACAGAAGTCAGTCACCTAGGACCATGTTTTGCAAAGACAGACGAAAACCATCTTGGAAGCTAAAACAGCGCAGTCTGGCTGATCTGGCTACACACAAGTGAGCAGAAATTTAAGTGGAGCAGCCCGGAGGCCTACGTGGCTACAAAATAGCTGGACATTATGTGAGTGGCCCCTGGGCGTGTGACTGTATGACACGAGGCTGTTACGGAAACCAAATATGTTGGCAACCCACCACCCACTGTCACCTGCCCAGGGTCCCAGGACTGGGGCCGAGGGCTCAGGAGTCCTGGGGCAGGAGCCCTGGGTGTGAATCATTCCCTAGGAGGGAAGGGCCATCCTGGTCCTTTGCCCTCAGGAGGAAAGCAGATGGAGGCCAGGTGTGACTAAAAAGAGCTGATCGATCCCCTTGATGTGTTATATTCAGAAACAAAAATGAGGTCTGCTTCTTATATTCTTAAATAATTTAGTTTCAATTTTGTTTTAATTCCAGAGTAGTCAACATAGAGCGTTATGCTCGTTTCAGGTGCACAATACAGCGATTCAACAATCCCATGCGCTACTCGCTGCTCGAGGTAAGTGTACTGTCTCCATCCCCTGTTTCACCCATGGTCCAGCCCCCTCCCCTCTGGGGACCACCAGTTTGTTCTATCTGAGAGTCTGTGCTTTGGTTTGTTTCCTTGTTCATTCGTTTTGTTTCTAAAGCTCCACCATGCAACTGGAATTATATTGTATCTGTCTCTGTCCAAATGGCTTATTTCACTCAGCATTACACTCTAGCTCTATTCATATCGTTGCAAATGGCAAGGTTTCGTTCTTTTTTATGGCTGAGTAACATTCCATTCTTCTATAAAGCAGCTCTATGAACCAAAAGACTTGCTTTTAGCCTCTTTAAAAAAAAAAAAGAGGTTGAGCTATGTTTTTCAGGTCTAACGTACTATACAACAAACAGAAGGTGGAAGTACCCTGAGCACATGAAAGCTTGGGTAAGTGCTGAGCTTAACTGATGCCCTGAGTGACAACCTGCCATTGATCACTTTATGGAAATTACCTGGGGCTTTCTCCAATTCGTCTGTAAGTGCTTCTTCTAAGGATCCTGCGATTTCCCTAAATCTGAGATAAAAACAAGAACACGGATTAGGGTTTATGCTGCTGCTGGGCGCCGGTACCTACCCGTCCTCCCTTCCTCCGCTGGCCTGCCCCGCAGTCTGACACTCTTACAGGCACCCAGCCGGCCCCAGAAGGCCTACTCTCCCATTTTTTAAAACTGAGCAAGGAATACGTTTCTCCTGATTAAGCCACTGTTATGTAGATTTCTCTGTTACTTGCAGCTGACTGGAATCACAACCAACCCCATGCTTTTCAAACTAAACAAACCACCCAGTTAAACCTCCATCAAGAAGTCGCGTCGGGCAAGTCCCATGTGGCTGTGGTCGGGTGTCATCACCTCACAGCCACAGGCGCTGCCGCCGTAGGAAAAGAAAGGAAACGTCCCTCAAGTAAGGAATGGGAAGGCTGGGCTCTGGATCGGTTTGCAGTGTGAGAAAAGTCGCCACGAGCAGCCGCGTGTGCAGCTGAGTGTCTCGTGCTGTCTGGTCCCAGCCCTGCTGGCACTGCCACCAGCCATCTGCGCCACCACTCCCCAGGTCCGTCCTCCTGGGTCTCAGCTGGACCACCGGGCAGCGCACCGTCCGCTCACCGAACTCTGTTTTAATATGTGGGCACAGCTGTAGGACTCTGTGACACGAAAGCAGTGTGTTTTTAAACAGGCTGTGCGTGTGGCATCGTGTCCTGACCATATAACCTCTGCCGTCGGACCTTCCCCGGCACACCTGTCACCCGCTAATTCCCTTGCCAGCCATACGTGCTGACACCGCTCAAGATGAATTTCCCTAATTGAGCATTCTGGGTTGTTTAGCGCATACGTTTTCCCAGAGCAGTTCAGAGACGGAGCTTAAGGAATCTGTCTGGAGGGTGAAAGGGACAGCACGTCACCCTCTGTTAACATGCAACACAGCCCAGAGCCCCAGACCCTGGGCCGCCCCAAACTGTCAGAGCTGGCTGCTTCCCGCTCCCCAGAAGGAAAGGAGCCTTCCCTCCTACTGCCCAGGGAGCCCGCTGGTGAGAGGCGGGGGGGTGGGCAAGCGGGAGGCAGAAAGGTGGGGTAGGGAAGGGAGCCTAGGAGACCAGCCTGAGAATGGCAGCAAACGGGGACGGTGACCCCGCGCCCAGGAAAGAGAAGGGACAAGCGACGCCTGCAGCCAGGACAGCACACCGGCCCCAGGTGTCTGCCTCTGGCCCCTCACGCCGCTTTTTTCAAAACCTACACCAATTCCAGAGAGGAAGCGCTGATAGCGAAAAGGCCCGAGAGCTAACCTGGCTTCGTTTCCGGGAAAACCCGGAAGCAACCTGCGTGGCCCCCAGTAAGGAAGTGGTTCCGTAAATTCTATAATGTGGGACCAATGAGAAGAACAAATGTAATCGGTGGGGAGCAAAGACACAGAACACAAAGTTCTGTGTGCGCACCTGCTGACCAGAAGGACGTCCGCGGGAGAAGTCGGCAGGGCCGGATGCCGCCGGAGTCCGCTACCTCAACGCCTCGACGCGGCCGCCAGACCATGCAGCCAAGTGGACACACTCACGACAGTGACACTACACAGGTCACCTGGCAGAGCTGTGCCTCCCCGGCCGGAAGCCCAGCAGCAACCCCTCACGCAGCTGTGCTGGCAGTTAACCTCCAGGACCCAGGCGACGTGTTACTGTCCGCGGAAAACGGCAAAAAGCGAGAGGCTGCTTTGGAAACGCCCAAGAAGCCGCGGTGGAGTTGGTGCGTGTGCGTGTGATGCCATCCGGCTCCCGCTAGTCCTAGCGCCTAGTCCTGTAACGAAGGCAACCCCAAGCAGAACGTTCCTACCTTCTTAAATCTGGGTTGGGGGAAGGCCTCTAGATCTATTCCTCGTGCACGCCACAGGTATGCAATCGCCCCAAAGCGCATCAGTAAAAAAAAAAAAAGCGGCAAAGATAATGGTGTCGGACATCGCAATCTCGCCTGGTGGTGTCAGAAGCGTCACGGGGCACGTCTCTACTCTGCACACACGTGCTCGGGGGCAAAGGGAAAGCATGTCGGTGTCGCAGAGAGCCCACATCACTGAGGAGGATACACGGTATGTCCAGCGTGTACCGAATATAATACGTGCACGATGAATGTTCTGGGGGTTATAGAATGTTCTAGAAAGACTTCCACTGAAGATGATAGAGAACTTAGCCTTTGGCATCTCAGGGTCTGAGCCTAGTCTCTGGGTAGCAACCAGCTCTCTGCACTGGAGGCCATTGGGTAACATTTGCATTTACTTTCTTGTGAGAAACTGAGTCGTAAACTTTTTTTTTTTTTTTTAAGTTTACTTATTCATTTTGAAAGAAAGAACGAGCAAGCATGAGTGAGCGTGAGCAGAGGAGGGGAAGAGAGAGAGAGAATGAGAGAGAATCCCAAGCAGGCTCCATGCTGTCCTCTCATGAACGGCGAGATCACGACCTGAGCTGAAGTCAAGTTGGCTTAACCCATTGAGCCACCCAGGCGCCCCTAAACCTGCTTTCTAACTACGCCTATGTGAACAAGTGAGATGAAGGCCCGGCAGGGCATCAGGAACAGTGAGGGGCTCAAGTGCACTCTCCGACGGGGCTGGCCGGAAGTGCCATCTTGGTTCCTGAGATGATGGGGACACAGGCACACAGTCAGACTGGGGGCGTGAGCTTCTTCCCGAGGGAGCAATGTTCATATTTCTCCCTCCAGACACATCACAGTGCACCCCATGGGCTTTTAGGTTTCCTTTAAATGACCCTGAAGTGAATCCGACAGCAATGTAACTCTGACCCTAGTCATGTTTGTGGAACTTTTGGTCACCGCTCAGAGTAAATAGTGTGACCCCTGGTAAAAATCAATAGAGCAGTCCTACAAAGTACTGCTTGAATTTAGTTTTTTAATTGGAAAAACAAACATAGGAAACACAAGCTCCACACTTCGTAACTCAAACGTCATTTTAAAAACTTCACAAATTTTAAAATAATGGTTTGCAAAGAAAAGTTGATCAATCCTTTGGATTGATTACTGTTAAAATCCGCTGAAGGTACAAAATCTTTCGGGGAACTGACTTTGAACCTAGCTCGGCTGGTCCTGTGAGAGGCAGCTGAGGGGCGGCTGTGCTGTCGCGGGCCTGGCTGAGCCCAAAACGGCCGCCAGAGCTCCAGGAGGGCAGGTCTGGGGTGGGGGTGGAGGGGCGCGACAGTGCGGGATCCCCAAAGGTGGGGTCACGGGATCTGGGGAACCGACTAGGAAGAGGAGTTTGGGAGGCAGCAGGCAGGACTGTGTGATGTGATGGTACTGGATGTCTAAAGCAATCTAACTGCAGACTGGACCACAGAAGAAATCGGAGATGTTTCTTCCCTAGTGCAGTCATCTGTCTATATATACGTGTGTGTGTGTGTGTGTGTGTATTACTCCCAATTTTATTTTAATTTTAGAGAGAGAAACAGACAGACCACACAAGCAGGGAAGAAGGGCAGAGAGAGAATCTCAAGTAGGCTCCATGCTCAGCGCTGAGCCTGATGGGGCTTGACCCCATGATCCTGGAATCACGATCTAAGCCAATTATCAACAGTTGGACCTAAACCGACTAAGCCACTGAGGCGCCCCTCTACTGCAGTCTTACATTGTCAATTAATATGTCACTTTTTAAAATTCTGCTCCTGAATCAAAAGGGCTTCTTGTCCTGGGCTGATCGTGATTATCCTATTAACAACCACTCCAGCGCAGTCCATGAACACCTTAGAAGAACAAATCCTTAATTTCCTACCGAGAGACAAGCTACGTGGTGATGTCACGTTGGCAAATGAAGCATAAAATACAGCGTGGTATGAGACAGGGCGCATCACTAACGTTCTGATAATTGCGACTGCGTTATCAGAAGCTGATTACATACATTCTCAATTGCAAGCAATTATAATCAAGGTACCTAATCCTAATATACTCCCCTCCCCCTCTGGAATTTTCCCTCAGAACTCTAGGGAAAAGGACCGCATTGTAACAAATGAAAGCATTCAGCCATTTAAACAAAAAGCCTACAACTCTTTACAGACCATCCTAACTAAAACGCTCCAGTTCATGTCATTCTGTGAAGGAACTTACCATGACCTTGCTCAAGACTGCAAAAACGGCTGTTTTTGTCTGTTTTCCTAACAGAACATATGTTGCTAAGAGTTTACCCTAAATTTCCCCCAACAGTTTATCAAGGCACTCATTTACATACGTGGTACCATCACGACATCTGTTGGAAGTGTCACCATTTTCCAGAGTAGAGAAAACAAATGTCAAAGATTATAAAGAAAGCCAAAGAATAACGAGGATTCATATCAACAGAATGATGGAACCAGCCATGAAGGATAGTTAAGGCGATGCATCTCCCCCACTCTCTCTAAGGAAAAAAACGGTACAGAGAAGCCAACGACAGACTGGGGCCAGGCCTCTGCTCGGCAAAGAGGGTGGTGAAAAGGGCAAACCGGACAGGGTGCCGCTGCTGGGCCCCTACTGTCCGCCTGCTCGTGGTGAATGAGGACACGCCGCAGGGGACGGAGCAGGGCTGGAACCCACCTCTGTCCAAGGCGGGCGTTCTCAGCCCTTTAATTACCAAATGGTTTTTCTGGCACGCAAACGAGAACGCAGGCAATCCTGATACTTCCCGCTCGTTCCCACTTCAGATCTTGTTTCCCAAGGACAGTACGATGATCTCAAAGGACTGTTTACTGGAGGCGATGCCCTGAACCAGTACTCCAATCCCTTCCTACTTCGGAAGGCCAGAGATGGGGAGGAAGGAATAAATTACTGACCTTATTTGAAAATAAACAGGCAAGTTCCACTTATTATTGAAGCTGTGGTAGGCGGGATGTGCTCTTAATCTCCGCACGCTGGCCTGTGTTCCACACTGCTGCTCAAACGCTCTCACAAAATCCATGCTTACGGTGTATTTCTAAAATAAGAAGAGAGGGAATTTTCACTGTGAGCAAACTGACCAGAAACGGGTACATACAGGGAAACCTGTAATCAGGATAAAGATGGGGAATGCACTGACGCGTAGTTTCTGGAGCTGACAGAGACCTGAAGAGAGTGTCCTTCCGAGGTCCTGACTTGAAAATCAGGCACTGCCCAAAGCGGTTCAGTGACATGCCCAAGGTTTTACGTGGCAAGGCCACCCTGGAAACCCAGCGCTCTCGTCCTCTAGGGCATCCCTAGCCCAGTCCACCGGAACTGGAAGAGACCGTAAATTAAGGGATGTAATGTCACTCCTGAAGGGGCAGACCATTTTTAAAAGGCAAGAACCAAAGCAAGTGAGTGATCCCAGGACTGCCACAGACCGCAGAGCACGCCAACGGACACGGAGCTAACGCCACCACGAAGAGCCGTGGCTGAAGCTTCCTTAACATTCATCACCTGCGTGCTGTCCCCCAAACTATATCCTTTAATGTGACCCACAAACCACCCACCCAGGTAATGACTGTTGTTATGATTTTAAGAAAATTTACCCAAAGACAAAGCTAAGAAACCGCGGAAACTGCACCCGCTCGGTCAGCAGGGCAGAACTGCAGTTGTTAGAAATTGTGCACTCCTCTGTGGGTCCTCCAGTCCCCACAGGCTCTATGGGGACCACGTGTGACTCTCCATGTCCTTTGGGACACCCACCCATTCACCGGAACATCCCCAAGTCTGCGCTGGGCAGGAATTTTGGTTCACGAAACATTACAGGCTTTTCATTTCTTTCAACTGACTGGTCGAGGTGTGAGGAGTTGCTACTAAGGTATTCCATCCTCTGGGGACAGAGGTATACAGACCTCTGCATGAGGAGACGCTAAAGGAACACAAAATAGCTCTGTCCTCGCGAGAAGTACGACACAGTGAGCCTGAGAGCTGAAAGCATCTTTTGAAAGGAACTGACCGACACTATGCTTGCTGGAAACAGACCCGGCAACATTAAGTGCTTTGAATTCTAAGGTCAAAGTGCTGTGGGAAGGTTTCCTTTCTGAGCCGAAACATCTGAGCGTAATGTGATCGGCACAACTCCAGAGTACAGTGAAACGTAAAGGATCTTAAACTGTTAATGCCTGAGGCCACGGTTATCATTCTGCTTCCGGGATCTGTTTGTAAAAGCCCTATTTTTTAAAATAATGAAAATCACTGTCCCACAAGTCACTGAGATTGATACCACGTGATCACCTTATTCTGCGTACCGTAACGCTGAATGATTAGTCGGAACAGGGAAGTGGTATTTCTGCGATGATACGACTCCAAATGTGCCATCGAATCTGTTTTGAAGGCCAGCAGGCCCCAGGCTCATCATACCTTACTGTCTGCCTCTCACCACTTCACGAATTAACAAGGAGTTTAAAATCCGATCAATACCTTCTGTTTTCCTTTCAAATTATACCGTGTGCATCAGCAAACCTAATTTTTCATGGAAAACCACTGCAGAGGGACTGGCTTTTAATGGTCTTCAGGATCTTTTTTAAAAGGTGAGAAAATAACGAACACATCTAGTCACAGTTGTGCCTAGGCTGAATTTTACTAGACATTTAAAATTATAGTCTATAATCCCAACAGGATCAGAGACCAATCCTTGGGTGAAACATTCTGTGTACTTTAAGGACGTGCTCACTCATGAACTCAAATTTTTATTTCTTTTTTTTTTTTATGTTTTATTTATTTCTAGGAGAGAGAGAGAGAGACAGCATGAGCAGGGGAGGGTCAGAGAGAGAAGGAGTCACAGACTGAAACAGGCTCCAGGCTCTGAGCTGGCAGTCAGCACAGAGCCCGACGCGGGGCTCGAACCCACGAACTGCGAGATCACGACCTAAGCGAAAGTCAGACGCTTAACTGACTAAGCCACCCAGGCGCCCCTCAAATTTTTATTTCTGAAAAACCACAGAAAGAAGCTGTGCAGAAAGCATGATTATTCGCAAGCCTCTGGTTAGTGTCAAGAATCAAGACGATGGAGGAAAAGTACCTTGTGAAATGCATCAGGATTTCCGGGATTGAAAAGAGAAGGCAGTTTTTCTTCTAATCCTCGTACTATTTCTGGCCAGACAGAATTCACCAAAAAATCGTATCCAGGAACACTCTTGCCTTTCTCACTGTAAGATAAGAGCAATGCTTCAGTCAGATAACACTGTACCCTCCTGTTTACAAGGGACAAAATTCTATCGTGGTATTTTAACTAAAAGTTCCTCAGCCTAAAATTTATTTCAACGCTTTTTTTTTTTAACTGTATGTCAGTTAGCTTGTTGATAGCCACAAACTTCTATGTTACTCCTGGATCCCAGTCTCACCTTGAACCTGAACATCTTCTGTATTCTGACTCCTATACTTATCACACAGGAGAGCAAGCTGGTGTCAAGGATAAGGCAAAACTCCTACATCAAATTGGCTTGGTAGGATTTCTCCCCTCAAATAGGCTATCATATTTACACTCTGTCTTGGAAAAGAAGTAGTCTGATAACACAAGAAAAGCAATCATTGCATTTGGTCTTTTTTTTTTTTGAGACAGAGAGAGAGAGAGAGAGAGAGGGAGAGAGAGAGAGAAAGTGTGAGTGGAGCAGGGGCAGAGAGAGAGAGAGAGAGACACGGGATCCAGAACACGCTCTAGGCTCTGAGCTGTCAGCACAGAGCCTGATATGGGGGCTCGAACCCACGAACCGTGAGATCATGACTGAGCTAAAGCTGGACGGTGAACCCCTCTATGCACTGAATCTTTAATACCACTAAGCTCTAAAGCCCTGCAAATTATGCTAATTTACCAATTACTAACAGCTTGGTGAAGATTAACCTATCTTTAAGATAGTTCCCAAATTCTGTGACTATTCCATGTAAAATCTTGAACAATTCCTGACTAAAAAAAAAAAAAAACTTGTCACATTCATGTTTTTTGGTTTATCCATGCTTTATTTCACATTTTTTTTTAAATGTTTTATTTATTTCTAGGAGAGAGAGAGACAGCGTGAACATGGGAGGGTCAGAGAGAGAGGGAGTCACAGACTGAAACAGGCTCCAGGCTCCGAGGGCAGTCAGCACAGAGCCCGACGTGGGGCTCGAACCCACAAACTGCAAGATCATGACCTAAGCGAAAGTCGGACGCTCAACCGACTAAGCCACCCAGGCGCCCCTATTTCACATTTTTTACCAAAAGGCTGGACTCTGGATTTCTAATTCACAGACTTAGATGAGAGCCAACACTGAGATAAAAGCATTCACTCAGAAGCCAGAGTACCTGGGTTCAAATCATGGGCCTTTTACCCTCTGTGTTTTGTTTTCTTCATCTTTAAGTTGAGACGACAGGATGGACATCATAGGCCCTTTATGTGGGCTAATATTTGGAAACCATTTAGGCTTGTGCCTAGCATACTGTGCTGTGTTGAGGGGTTAAATATATTAAGTAAATACATAAGTAAGACAGACTCCTTAAGTTTTCTCTTGAACTTAAAGACACAAAAATAACTTCTAGGTAAATGCCATCTCACTGACTACACTCTGATTGTTGTATATTGAGTAATTCAATGCTCAATTTTAAGATAATTTTCTTTAACGGCAGCCAGCAATTCAATATTTGGCCTTTTTTTTAGTTTTTATTTATTTAGGCAATCTCTACAACCAACGAGGGGCTCGAACTCATGACCCTGAGATCAAGAGTCACACGCTCCTCTGACTGAGCTGGCCAGGTGCCCCTGATATAGTCTTATTTCAGCAAAACTGGGAGTTCTGTAGCTAAGTTGTGATATGAAATTGGGGATTAACATGATGGCATTAAAAATAAAGAAAAAAGGGGCGCCTGGGAGGCTCAGTCAGTTAAGTGTCTGACTTTGGCTCAGGTCAGGATCTTGCGGTTTGTGAGTTCGAGCCCTGCGTCGGGCTCTGTGCTGATAGTTCAGAGCCTGAAGCCTGCTTCGGATTCTGTGTTTCCCTTTCTCTCAAAAATAAACAAACATTAAAAAGCCTTTTTTAAAAATTAAAATAGAGATAAAAGCTTTCATAATTTTCCTTCTTAGCAAAAATTATCAGGATAGATAATTTAGATAATTTATCTAAAGACAAATTGTCCAGGAAGCCATGCCTTACTGTCCAGCAAGTGCTACCAAGCCATCTTACTATAGTGAAGTATTGGTAAGAAATCACTGGCAGGCTGGAGGAGGGCGGGGGAGGACCAACGGCATATCTACTTCCCACACGCCCAACTCCACCCGTCACAGCATATAATTTCAGCCACACTAAGAACGAGCTCTATTAACGTATCTAGAGAAGAAAAGAGTAAACCTGGGAATTTTAAAACTACAGATGCACAGACTTGTAAGCAATATTAAATGACAAGATCTCCTCATCCCCAACGCAAGTATCTACTTAAAGCCGCAAAGAGAAAATTTACATCTACGAGAGATTAACAGCTGAAACAGACGGCTAGTTAGAAAAGTGAATCCATACTCTCTGGAAGACAGATCCTTGGGCGCTGGCGGATAGAAGGGCATATACAGAGGGCGACACAAGGGAGAGAGAACAGAATGGACAAGCTAGGCTCTGAGTGTGTAGAATCCTGTAGGCAGGTAGCGAGCAAGGGACAGTCAGGGGCAGCCTAACAAGGGCGCCTGCACCAAACGATGACCTGCTGACGTACGGTTTAGATTCCTCAACCCTCTGAGGCTTTGACGGGAATTCTGCCACACTGAAAACGATGGAAAAGAACTTGCAAAGTCTTCGAAAATTGACATTTTCAGGACCAAGACCAGTCTTGTCAAATCTAATGACAAGTCTTGTCAAATCTGTTTCAGAACTGTGGCTTCCTTAATTTTACATCACAACTTCTGCTAAATACTTACCCCAAATCCAAATCCAACTAAATCTTCATGGTGATGAAACACAAGCAGCAGAATCCGGCTGAAATCCCGTCATGGAAATAGAGAGGGTCCTTCAAAGGTCAGCCGGCATACTTAGTACCCCAGATTCTTTTCTTTCCAAAGAACAAAAATTCGAGACCAAATATACTGACTGCCTACTTCATAAAGATCAAGGACCTCCTTTGCCTTTCAAATGATGAAAATGGACGAATCCTTCATTCTGCAAACACGGGGTGGTTGCGATCTTCAAGACACTGTGACAGGTGAGAAAGGTGCGGGCAGCAGGAAAGGTGAGCACACTCTAAGCCTACAGAAATGACTCCTCCGCAGAGGTGAGAGCCAGCATGTACTAGACTCAAGGACGTGGTTAAGGCTGAACATCAGGATAAAACGTGGTCTCCTGAAGGGTGTGGTATCTGAGCTGGAGCTTTGGAGTGGCGGAGTAACAAAAAGACAAAGGCAACGGGAAGGGTGGGAGACAGTGAGGAAAAGCTCAGAAGCACACGGCACAGGGTTTCCTTGACTCGTGACGGAGTTACAGCCCAATAAACCCACCGCAAGTTGAAAATATCATAGGCCGAAAATGCATCTAATACACTAAACCTACGGAACATCAGAGCCCAGGCCAGCCAACCTCCAATGTGCTCGAACGCTCACAGCAGCCCACAGGAAAGCCTATTTTACGATGAAGCGTTGGCTAGCTTGTGTAACTCGCTGACTCCCACACTGAAAGTGAGAATCCGAACGGTGTAAGTGTGTCGGTTGCTGACCCTCATGGTGGCGCGGCGAGCTGGGAGCTGTGCCCGCTGCCACTGTGCAGTGTCACGAGAGCGGACACCCATTGCCAGCCCGGGAAAAGATCCACATTCAAAATCTGCAGTATGGTTTCTGCTGAATGTGTATCGCTTTTGCACCATCGTTAAAGTCAAAAAATCCTAAGCTGAGCTCGCCTGGAGCCTATCTTCGGATTCTGTGTCTCCCTCTCTTTCTGACCCTCCCCTGCTCATGCTGTCTCTCTCGCTCTCTCTCTCTCAAAAATAAATAAAAAACATTAAAAAAAAATCCTAAGCTGAACCACTGTGAAGTCAGCGATCTTCTGTACAAGCTGTGTGAGGGAAGGTCAACTGCTACTGTTTGGCCAGGGACCTCAGAGGTATGGGGCAGGCGGTGGAGTTCCATAGCAGGAAGTTCTACTGTGAAGAACCATCAGGACTGGAGCATTAAGGGCCTCACGGGCTGTGCAAAGAAGGCTGATGTTCCTCTGTAAGCAACGAGAAGCCATTAAAGACTTATGAAGGCGGCAGAGTTCCGGGCAGATGTGACAGCCGAGGGCTGCACTGAAGAGGGGCAAGTGGAGTCAAGGAGGCCAGGAGGGGAGAGCCTGTTATTCCAGAGAAAACATGACAAAGGCCTGGGCCAGAATATGTGAAACAGAATGGGATATTTATGAAGCAGAACTGGAAAGTCATGGGAATGAAACAAAAGAGGGAGGGGAAACTGAAGATAACCTTAATCACAATTAGCACAAAACTTGTTGAATTAAGCTGACGGGCACCTGGGTGGCACAAGTCAGTTAAGCGTCCGACTCTTGGTTTCAGCTCAAGTCATGATCTCGCAGTTCCTGAGTTCGAGCCCCACGTGGGCTCTGCATTGACAGAGCAGAGCCTGCTCAGGATTCTCTCTCTCTCTGCCCCTCCCCTTCTCAAGCTCGCTCACTCGCTCTTTCTCCCTCTCTCTCCCTCCCTCCCTCCAAATAAATTAAAACAAAATTTGCTGACTTCAGCTGAGTTGATATTTACAGACCTCAGAATAGTGAAAGGAAACCAATTTTGATTTCAAACCCGGTTAAGGAAAACGTATAGAGAAGGTAAAGGTAGGGGTTTGGGATTCAGAGAAATGCAGCCTCCAAGATGAGCTCCTACTATTAGTTTCCACATCTGCCTCATGGTATTGGTAACAATTCAACAGGAAAGCACCCACGTTCCCAGTTCAGACAAGACGGCCCATAAGCAGTAGTGCACTGGGAACTACTGGGCGCACTCGCCGAGCTGGGCTGAGCGGAAGTACAGCAGCTTAAGTTACCTCGAGACGGCCCCTCCTGTGACTTCTCGAAGAAGGCGGCAATGGTGAGGAACGAACTCCAGGAGCTTATCGTACATGATCTGAAGGCCATTCGGATCAGACTCAACAATCTGCTCTACAATCACCTATCAAAAGGAGCATCATTTTTTTAAAAGCACCTAAAATAAAAGTACGAACTATATACTACAGAGAAAAGAAGAGAGGAATCCTTAAAAGCACAATTCCTCATGTCCACCCTCGTCCCCAACTGACATGCTTTCTTAAACAGAAGGTAAATAACCGCCACCCCAAACACCAGCTCCTAGGATTAGGGGACAGAGTTCTGACCCTGGGGGAGACAAAGGCTGGGTGGCAGAGACTGGCCTGAGGCCGAAACACCACACACACTCATCTACTTCCTGTCTGAGCTTGAAAGCAAAATACTGTGTCTGACAGCAGCTCTGTGCTGTCTTGACCTTGGCCTTGCCGTCTACCACCAGATCAGGGAAAAGGGTTGAGACAGAGAATGATGGAAGAAAACACATCTTCTTTTACTTTATTATTTCATGTTTTTGTGGGAAAGGTGAGAGTCAAGAAGTAAAGAAAAAGCTTAGAATACAAACGTGGCGATAGTCCATTTCATATGCCACTGAAACTTAAAATATTTTCTTAACTTAGTACATTAGACTCAGTTCAATGAAAAGGGCATAAATTAGCGAGTAAAATATTTTCACTTACTGATAAAGCATAAAGTAGGCAATCGGTCTTTTACACGCCCATAGAAATAGCTAGGAAACGTAACAGGCTACACACATGGAATCGACAGATCGTTTATTTTTAGTAATCCTAATGATGTTGAGAGGATTACTGAAATTAATCCTGACATTTCACTTTTACCAAAAGGATTCTGTCCCATTTTAGAAATGGAAGACTTTCATCCCAAAGTCACAGCGTGGAGCAGCTTTACCCTTACGGGGTCAGGAAGATCGTTCACACTGACTGGTAACTGAGGGAGTCTTCAAACACAGCTTTATGACTTCTATCAGTTTGAACCAGACGGAACTTGCCATGGTCTAGGTCGGAAATTGTTGGCAACCCCGTATGATACGACCTATGTTCTGGCTCCCCAAAGGCAGGATATACTTGCTGCCTGTAACTTAACTCTACCCTGACAGCTGAAGGGTACTGGGTAACCAAGTTCTGGATTTAAGGTACTACACTGTTAATCTGCCCATAGAAGCCCTTTGCCTTCGACTATTCCCTCCTTCCCACCTCCCTGGCCTGGCAAACTCCACCATGGTTTTCAACACGTAGGTCCAATCTAGTCTGTGAAGACACCTCCCTCCCAGACTTTCCAAGCCCACCAGGCTGTCCGCACTCTGCCACCAGGCACGCTCACTGTGGAGGGGTCCTCAGCCTAACTGTCCTACTCCGCTACCCTAGCGGTGCAAAAATACTTTTTCACAACTTCACTGACGTACAACTGACACACCCTAAAACAGACCTGAAAACGTTCTGATCCGTACCTTCTTCCTAGGCGAGACCCTCACCCCCGCGGTATTAAGGTGATCCCTGGGCCATGCCATCGCTAGAGAATACTGGAGATCATGATGACTGTAACCAGCGGGACCGACCGTTTCTTACAGCTGACAGTGCGGTGACTGTGAGAATCCGTACAGAGAGAGAGCTCTGACCGGTTGGTCACACCCAAGGAAGAACCCAAGTCAGAGCAGACGCCCTAGGGGTGTCTGAAGGAAGAAACGAGTGCACACACCTCATCCATGTATGGTTTCACCAGAACTTGACCCACTAATGCCTCGGCATCCCGCGTCTTGTCAATGGTGGCGTAGGTCCGCAAGCAGTGCCGTATTATATCAACGCTGGAGGTGCGGAGCCCTTCCAACAGTAGGCCTTCCAGGGACTGCTGCAACATGGCTGTAATGCCAGCTATCCGCTGCAAGAGAAAACAGCTGTGAAGAAAGTTCCAGGAGGAGCGATTTCTAAAAATTCAAAGATATATATATATATAATAAGCCTCTTACTCTACTAGAATATACGTAAGATGAAAATATCAACAGTTTCTGGAGAGTTAACAGGGAGACCTCTTCTCTACAATTTCTTTACAAGTAAATCTTCGCTTCATCAAAGATATGACAAAAAGTTATCTTCCTATTAGGCTATAGAGTAAATCTGACAACCGTGTTTAAACCCAGCCAAGGGCTTGGGATAAATTAATTCTGACCACATCATATAATGTGTCAAGTTACATGAAATTCAGAATTAATTTTACTCATATAATTTGGAGAACATGCTTGTCTTTACGCAAAATCTACCTAACACGATACGAAAAAAAAGCAGGGTCCCCAGAAACAAAAACTGAAAGAAAAAATTCAAAGCTAGCTTCAAAATACTGTATGGCCACAATGATCAGGGACAGTATGAGATTAAACTAAAATCATTCAGCAAATTCCCAAGGAGCAAACTGTGAAAATCTAAACCAACACTTACTGGTCTTACTTTGTCCAAGAGAGGCATGCCTTTGCTTTGAACTGCATGAAACTGTAACTGGTTAAATTCTGTGGCAATTCTCTCCAAAATCTGTCCAGTCAAAAGTGGGCTAGTAGAGACAATTCCCAGAGTTATTTCATTTCCAAGAGACTGTTATCACCCAATCAGCAACAGTCAGGCTTCAGCGCCCACCTTGTCGTAACTTCCTTTGGAGCATTCTCCCACAGACCCCTCGTCTCAAGGTGAAAGCTAATGTACCTTCCGTGCCGTCAATTTTCAGGACAAGCAGTGAGTGTAGCACATTCTAGGTGTGGTGGGGAGATTGTTATGTACAAGCCACTGCCACTGCCTGGCCCCAGCCACAGGGCCCGCACACGCAGCAGGGGCTGGACCGGGTCAGTGTGGGTGCAGCTGCGTGTTTCCAGCACGTTCCTCAGGCTCTCCCATTCATTACGTCTTCATCTCTCACCCCTTCTCTCTCGCGCCCTGTCCTGAATCATTCATACCTGAATCCTCTTCTTCTCGACCTGCCTCAGTCTCTCTCCTTCCAAAACACCTCTAATACATCTAAGGCACCAAATCCTGTGGCCTCTTCAATAAAATAAAACTGGTCCTCCTGCAGCAATAAATGAAGCACCTCAGAGTAGCTTACTTTAAACTTACATTTACCAAAGGGCAGAAAGGGCATTCCACATGCTCTGGGTCCTTACTGAGAAAACATTCATTTGTATCTGTGACCACGTGCAATAAATGCGTCCCCCGTGCCCCCAATCACATCGTAGAGCATCAACACCACTCAAGAGGAAGTCGAATAGTAAAAGAAGAAAACAATAAAGGCACTGAAGCACTTGCTGGCTTTTCTAAGGCACCCCACCTCTGCCGACGCACAGGCCAACGCACAGCGAGGGGAAAAACCCATACCATCAGGAAACAGGACACACCACAGGGAGACCGGCAGTGATCCGCCCAGTCCTGTTTCCGCAGTGCCCAAGCCAGTGTAGACAGAAAGTGCCCGGTGTGACCAACCCCGAAGCCTCATCTCTCACTTGAACAGCCTAGCGTGGATTTCTTATTTATCGATTAGCTCCACGTTCCCTGGCCTAGCAAGCAAGCTGCAGTTACTATTCACCAACATGGCTCCGGCCTTCTTTTGTCTACAGCTCAAAGCCGCTGTTCCAAAGGGAAGAAAAAACCCCTCAAAGGTGACTCCGAGCAAGAAAGAGCATCACGTCTGTTATACTAAAGGCGGAGCTGCCGGGAACAGTATCACAGAAATAGAAACCACTGAGGGGATTCTGAGAAAGGAACATGGCAGCAACGGGCAGAAACAGAAAGGACACTGCAAGGAGGGCGTCAGAGGCCGAGGAGGATGCGGCGGGAGGGGCTGTCAGCGCTGCTGGGGGGCAGGAAAGCAGAGCGGCTGAAGACAAACAGGGCCCCCTAGACTGGTGGGCATGGCCACTGCCAGGGTCTCCGACACACGCAGAGGAGGGGCGGATGCACAGGGCAGTGCGCTGAAGAAGCACACGGCACGTGGGGAGGACTCACTCACACGCCTTGACTGCGAAAGGAGGCAGGGGCCTGGGGCCCGAGAACCCCTTCCTCTGGGACGTCTCCCTTCCTTACCACGTGAGGAGAGGTGCGGCGCGTATGGACCCTTCCAAATCAAAAACATTAGTCCTAAAATTGCGAAATCCAACCAGCCCTTGTGGTGGGATGAAGCCTTTGAACTACAGGTATATGCAGTTTGGCCTCGGGTGGTTTTGCCTCATGATCCTGCATGACTCGTGGGAAAACGTTAACAGCTATCAATGTGATTTCAAAAAAGGCTCCTGTTAGGCCCAGACTTCCTAAGGACGAGGGCCTGTGTAGGCCAGGGGCAGCTGGGGGTCTCTCAGGGGTTGAGACAAGCTTGCAAGTGGAGTTGCCGTCAGCCTCACGCTCAGGGGACACAGGGCACCGCAGGACCCGCGCTTGGGCTGCTGGGCGGTACATGCGGGACAAGCCTGTGCTCCTCCCGCGGGTCTATGGCGCGTCCCACTGGTGCCAATGTGCCCTAACAACTCATTTCCCAAGACCCTCATCTACTGGGCTGACTGAAAATTCACACTAACAAGGTCACAGTATAATGAAGACAGCTGTCATCTTTCTCTTATTTCATAATCTCTTTCTTTCTTGCTCGTAAAGTTCAACTAAACGTGTCCTGTACGGCTTCCATTAACGACATAATGCTAGTGCAAAACACATCAATGGCTGACACCCTGGGCTTGTCTAGAGAAAATGCGAGAAAGATGAATGCTGTACCTGGAAGGTCAACAAGGATTTTGCTAGGTCTCAGGGAAAGTGATTCCAAACTGGAGGCGCACTGCCTCTGACCCCGTTGGAACTACAGGGCCTCTGACCACAAAACGTTTAAAATGACATATTACAAACTTTACCATTTCACACACTCTCCTGGGGCTACCTTCCAAAATGCTAACCTACAGATCTGGATTTTCTTCTTACTCAGAAATGAATTCTAACTAAAACAAAACAAAACACAACAAAACCAATATTTAAACTGGATGTGAAGTATTAATTTATTTGCTATTCAGTAAAATAAAAAAACTTACCTGCTTGCTTCTAGTGCAGATGTTTCTTTAGAACTTTGAGAATTTAAGATTTTTTCAATTTTTTCAACTGACCGAATAACTTGTATAAGCCTCAACACACACATCTATAAAGATAAAAATTAAGCAAACAAAAAGTCATTATAATGTTTGATCTTAATCATCTTGTTTCCCATGCTGAGTGCAGGAAAATATAAAACCAAAAGTCAACTTTGAATATATACAGCATCCTACATTTTGAATATTTCTATGAAACTCTGGATTCCCAAGAATGCAAATCTTAATTTTGGTTTTCTGGAACAAGCATATTTGAATATTCAATTGCCAATTAATAGAAAAAAACAAAAACCAAACAAACAAAAAAACCCTAGACTTTTGCTTTCTCATACTCTGTACTCTTATTACTTCTTTTTCTCATCCTGAACCTCTCTATGGGCAGTCCATTTATCTTTTTATGGTCCTTTCTTCATCTTTTCAGTTTCTGATCATGTCTAGCCTCTTAGTTTACATGTGTATGATATACCTATATGCCCAAGTGTCAATTCGTTAAAGACATTTTATGCTACAAATATTACCAAAAGGTTGATGGACATTATAAAAACTCTTATCCTTAAAAGAATAATTTTTGTTTTAATGTTTTATTTATTTCTGAGAGAGAGAGACAGCATGAGCAGGGGAGGGTCAGAGAGAGGAGACACGGAATCTGAAGCAGGCTCCAGGCTCTGAGCTGTCAGCACAGACCCCGATGCAGGGCTCGAACCCACGATTCGTGAGATCATGACCTGAGCCAAAGTCGGATGCTCAACCGACTGAGCCACCCAGGCGCCCCACTTAAAAGAATAAAACGTACAAAGTCATCCATTAAACAAAGAGCACCTGGGAACCCCTCCTGGGAGCCAGACATTCTTCCAGACAGTGGGCACATGAGTGAATAAACCAAGAAAAATGGCTGCTTTAATGAAGCTTACAGTCTTGTCCAGAAATGCACCACATGAATTCTTTGGACAAAAGCTGGGAGGAGACATAGAGGAGAAATAGACAGAAAGTCTCTAAAATAGGCTTCTCCCCGTTGAGATTAAAAGGGGCGCCTGGCTGGCTCAGTCGGTTAAGCATCTCACTTTGACTCAGTTCATGATCTCACGGTTCATGAGTTGGAGCCTCACTTGGGGTGAGCTCGAGTCCCACTTCCGGTAAGCCCCACTTCTCTCTCTCTTCCACACCTGCCCCCTCTCTGCCCTTCGTGGGATTCTCTCCCTCTCTCTCTGCCCTTTGCTCATTTGCACCCTCTCTCAAAAGTAAATTTTTAAAAATATGCTAATGAATACACGTACAAAACACTGGATAGAGTCAGAAGTCTGGAATCCTAGCTCCAACTCTGCCCTGACATCGCTATGGTCACAAATAAACTCAGGGATGTGTTGAGCAGGCATCGAGGACGAAGAAGTGCCCTTGCTGTGATGAGCCCCAGCTGACATGCGGAAGTGCTGAATCGCTATGCTGCACACCTGAAACTAACATAACCCTATACTTTAACTAACTGGGATCTAAAAAATAATAATGAAATAAGAGCTAAAACCAGAGCATAAAGAAAAAGATCAGAAAAAAAAATTAAAATACAGGACCACTGAAGAGTAAAGGCGGTGCACCCAGAGGCGAATTTAAAGGTGGGAAAACATAAAAGGAAACAAACGTGGCAGAATGAGACAGCAACACACTGCTTTCTCTAAAACAACCAACCTGCAGTCGAATGTGGAGTGTGCTTTAGAAAGCTCACTTCCACCATAGTCCCTAAAATAGGGATATTTCTTCATAGGGGTGGAGACAATATACATGGCTGTTAAACCACCAAGTGCTTCACTGACATCAGTTGTTATTATTTCTTGCTCTGGAAAAAGTGAGGGATCTTGCGACCATGTGGGTACCTCTAAATTTCTGTCTTATCATTTCAAGAAGATACCGTGACATTATAAAGCGTAACATGCGCATGCAAAGGGGCCTTGAAAACAAAGCTGCGCAGCACTAACAAGCATGGGGGACGCGAGGAGAGGGTTTAGCCGGCGCGTAGTGTAGGGAACCTCCTGAGGGATACCTTTTTCTTCCTGATGTCCTCTTGCTTACACATCCGTTCATCCACCGCCCGGATCCCTTCACTGACAGATGACCTGAGGCTCTTTAAAAGAATAAACAGAGCGTACTGTAGAAACTGTTCTGTAACATTATCAAGTTTATGCATTTACTATGCAGATATTGACAACAATACAAACCATCAGACACATTGCTGTTGAGGGTACTCGTGATTTGGAGGCAAAGTGACGTAAAGTCAGGGTCACACTGGATTAACGGCCAGGAGAACAATAATACATATACAATGAATGTCATGGGTGGTCAGAGTGGAGGACGGGTAATCTGAAGCAAAGTATAGAAGAGTCTGGAAAAAGGGTGGGAAACTGTGCACGCTGCCACGGCAGGGAGAGGGGGTCTTTAGAAGACAAAGGTAAGAAGGTGTGAGTGTGGACAGGCTCAGGGCTGGCCAGGTGTGTGCCCGGGTGCGCTGTAGGCTTCGTTCTGGAGAGAAGTAGAAACAAGGGGGGGTTCAACTCAGGAAGACTTCACTCAGATACGGTCTTTAGATGAGACTCCACACGTTTTGGAGAACTAGAAAATGTTGAGGCACTGAGGTAGCATATGAAATGTTGTTTGGAAATATTAGGAATCAAGGAGGAAGAACAGAATGGCCGGAGAAAGGGAGGGCTCACAGGTGGAAAAATAGGTCCAGAAGCTAATGAATGAAGCCAACTAGAAGACAGGAATTAGAGCCAAAACAAAGGTTAATGGAAACAACTGGAAAAAACTGGACAAATCACAAAAATTCTACAGAAAGGTGAATTAATTCACTCAAAAAACATATAAAAGACCTGCTAGGTGTCAGCTGTTGTCACAGCGTGTGAGGATACAGAAATGAAGATACAGACAGTCTTATCCCTTAAAGACCTTAGAATCTCTTAGAATCTGGTCTCTGAGCCGGGAAGGTCAGAAAGGAAGGTCAGGTCTGTGGCTCCTCAGGACAAAAGTGGCTATAAAGACGGCTGTGGAAAAGGGAGGGGACGCGGTGCTGGCAGGGGCGAGGCCGGACGGGAGCCTGTGTGCTCGAGAGTGCAGTCAGCAGAGCAAATCTACCTCCGGGGAGAGGGTTTTCGGAGAAGAGTGGAGGGCCCAAGGGAGGTGGGGCTGGGGGAGGGAGAGCACAGCAGGGAGGCGGCGGGGAAGACACACTGTAGCAGGTGTGGGGCCCAAGAGCGGACCACAAACATCGCTCTTCCATTCCAGGGGAAAGCACCTTAACAAGAATTTGTAACATTCAAACAAGACCTAAGCAGTGACAAGTGTTCGTCAGCTCAAGGCCCGGCTCAAGGTTTCCCTCTTCTATGAATCCTCTCCCGCCTCCTCTGGGCTTCTCAGCACTGACGCCTCTGGCACTCTGCGTCTTTTCCAGCTCTACCCATGCACCGTGCCTTCCCTTAGATCTTCTACTTCTAGCATCTCCTTAGGTGCCAGGCGCTGTCTTAGGGGATGGTGCACAAGGCCACTCGAGCTGGAGGTGACACACCCAGGAGAGGCTGGTGCAGGGCGCCAGGCTCATGACGGCGCATCCGAATGGGGCAGGGGAGGAGTCAGGGCAACCAACCCAGACTGGGGGGTAGGGGAGGACAGGCCAGCACAGTCTTCTGTTGGCAGTGGTGCCCCAAGTCCCCCTCCGCTGTTCGCCACATGGAGTTCCTATCTCCAACGGCTTGGAGTGGGGAGTCCTGTTCCCACAGCAGGGGCTTTTCTCAGAGAAACATTAGAGGTTACATTACATTTGTATCATTCTTCAGGTACACAAAGGATCACACAGCTTTCGAGGACCAGTCTAGGAACCTAGCTGCATGTTCATTACTGTTGGGGGTGTGGGGAAGAAGGGGGGAGACTTAAAAAATTACAAACTGTTCAAAGCCATTCAGAAGCTGGAAACCACTTACATATGAGTGAGTTGGCATTAATAAGTTGAGTTTGAAAATATTCTTCCTTTCCCCCGATAGCTCAAAGCTGTCTACTCTGAGCATCTGTCTTCATCAGATCAACCGTGTGTCTTAGATCATAATGCCACATGCAAACACAGAAAATCATTTACGACTTTTCTGAAGGCAAAATGTGATAATCGTGAAACTATCAGAAAACAACCACTGTACCAGGAACCTAACAGATGAAAGAAATTCTTCCCCGAGAAGCCAAACGAGAACCACACACATTCCGGCACACTGTGTTACATTATCTGGGGACTTACCAGAACCTCTTCTCGTAACTGTCCCAAAGGCACAGAAAGCTGATTGAGGGCTTTGTCCATGCCGACCTAAAGGCAAGATCACATTGGTACAAACACATCACGACCAGGAGTTGACAGTGAGGTATCTTTTAATGATCAAAGCAGTACTAGACTTAAGTTATTTTTGTGGTATGACCATATTTTGCTGAGTAACTAGTTAAGTAACAGAAATGTTACTGTGCCATTAATATTGCTCATGGAATACGAAAAAATCTGTTGGTGTACATGAAACTACACAATTAAAGAGAAGTCCTATTAAATGAAACCTTCGCTGTGAGCAATCTGCCTTTAGATCACATTTTAAATGAATGTGAAAAATTTCAGAAGGTGAACGGCTGTCTGTAATTTATGATGTGAAAGTCCAATGGGCTATGTCTCTCCTAAACATCATTATAGCCCTTGAAGAGAATCCAAATTAAACAGAGCAGAAGTAAAATTTTCCGGGTTTCTAATCCTACCGGAACTTTTATGTTGAGGGTATATTTCCCAAAAGCAAATGTGCCTCGTTAATTTTAATGCTTCTGGAAATTCCCATGGAGCTGCCGACTTTGTGTAGATTTAAAACAAAATGAAATACGAACAAGGAGGCTCTTCTGCAAATATTACCACCCAACCATTTCTAAACAGCTTTCACATGCAGCCAATATGCTCATCACATATCACTCTTGTGTGTTTGTAAAACCAAGCCTTCTAAATGTCAATACTGGCCTCGGTCCCCTCCACCAAGCTCTGGCTATCATACACACTTGAAAGTAAATCCAACATTTCCTCCAGAACAGTCGATATTTGCCCTTGCAAATGAGCCTCCACCAAGTAAGACTTCGGGGTGATCGTTTAGCAACTAGCAAAAACAGCCACTCAGAGATTCTCATCCTTTGCTTTTTACTTGTTGGCTAACGATTTCAAAAAAATCATTAAGCGAGAGTGGTCTTCGATGAATAAAAACTAAAACCAAACAAATACATGCCAAAAAGTTTAGTTATTTGACTCATGAGATTAGTCATCTCTTTACATTTTTTGGGGGGCGGGGGGGAGTCAACTGAAAGATTTCTTTTGGCAATCTACACGCCATTCTGAAGAACAGACATGAGTGAGAGGGCTTTACCAAGTTTGTGGAAAGGTTGACAAAATCCGCGTAGTCCTTGTTGATAAGCTCCACCATGGCTGTCTTAAGGAGTCGGTAGTAGAGTTCTAGGTCACCTCTCAGTTCTTCCAGCTGCACGCGTTTCCTGCAGTCAGATACAAAGTGATCCACATCGAAATCTTCCTGAAAATCAAACCACGAAGAAAAAATGACTGCAATGATATCACATCTTGCATATAAAATGAGAGACAGAGGGAGAAGCGTCATTCTACTCATTCAAGGGGTTCTGCGGCTGTAGGGGAACGTGCCTGGGTCCACACAGTGACATCAGGGTGCCTGCTCATGTCACACAGGTGCTGGAGAGGGGGCCCCCACCAAGAGCATTCTCTCCTGTTGCCTCAGTTCTACCAGGGATTTTATCTTTTTTAAATTATTTCACAGAGGCTCTTCAAAACAGAAATAGCTTTTGCTTCTTTATTTTAAATGTAACAAATGCGGGTGCCTGAGTGGCTCAGTGGGTGAAGCGTCTGACTTTGGCTCAGGTCATGACCTCGCGGTTTAGGAGTTCAAGCCCCACATCGGGCTCTATGCTGACAGCTCAGAGGCTGGAGCCTGCTTCGGATTCTGTATCTCCCTCTCTCTCTGTTCCTTCCCTGTTAACGCTCTCTCTCTCTCAAAATAAATAAACATAAAAAAACAAAAAAAAATAAAAGTAACAAATGTTCAATGTCAAACTTTCAACCAATAAAGAAACAATTATATTAAAGACAGTAAAAAATCACCTGTTCTCTGAAGCTCTACAGATAAGCACTATTCATATTCCACCTACCCTCCCCCCCACCCACTATTTAACTTGTGATTCACATCCTTCCAGACCTCTATTTTGGTCTTTTAGCTTTAAAATATAAGTTACTTTTTCAAAAGGTGAGATATAATGGACACATAATTTTTCTGGTATACAAAATAATGGTTTCATAGTTTCATCTATGAATATTTCATCTATGATATTGTGAAATGATCACCATGAGACTAGTTAACATCCATCACTACATACACACATATTTTTCTTGTGATAAGAATACATAAGATTTACTCTTAGCCACCTTCAAATATACCATATGGTATTTACTAGATGTATGTGCAGCACATCACATCCCCAGAACTTATCTTATTAACTGGAAGTTTGTACCATTTGACTCCTTCATCCATTCCCTCCACACCCCCACTGCCAATGGCAACCACCAATCTGTTCTCTACGACGTCATTTAGTTTTTGTTTCATAGCTTCCACAAATCAGGGAGATGATACGGTATGTGCCTTTCTCTGACTCATTTCACTTCGCATAATATCCTCAAGGGTCATCCATGTTGTTGCAAACGGCAAGACTTCCTTCTTTTTATGGTTGAATACTAGTCTACTGTATACACACACCACATTTTCTTTATCCATTCACTCACTGATGGACACTTCAGTTGTTTCCAAGTTGTGGCTGTTGTAAATACTGCAATAAACATGAGGGACCTGTGAGTGTAAGCCTTGCTGGCCACTGGAGCCACGTGATCTAGAGGTACCCTTAGGTAGCAACTGCAAAACCTGGGGCACCAGACGGATGAGTGTTAAATCAGATGCCTGCCCCTCAGGGCTCTAAGATAAGCAAACGGGAGTCTTTTACAGAAAGTTGGAATCCTTTTCAATGGGCTGCTTCTGGGCCCAGCCCTGAGGCTGGGGGCCTCTGCTCACATGACCCCTTTAAGAACCATTTCTCAGTTCCCTATAGCCCTGGGGATCTCCCGGAAGCAAGCCTTGCTGGCTTTCAAAGCTAGATGTTTTGGGGGCTTGTCTCTCAAGTGCAGGTCTTAACAAGTGCAGGTCTTAAAAGTCGGGGTGTTCAAACCCCTTGCTCCTCAAGGAGAAGCCTGGGATTATGAGTTCCCTCCCAGTTGTGGCTCACTGTGTCAGGGATGGGATTTATGGTAAGACTGCATCTCACTTCAGCACAGGTTTTTATCTTTTTCTTTTCTTTTTTTTTTTTAATATTTTATTTATTTGAGAGAGAGAGATAGAGACAGCATGAGCAGGGGAGGATCAGAGAGAGAGGGAGACACAGAATCTGAATCAGGCTCCAGGCTCTGAGCTAGCTATCAGCACAGAGCCCGATGCGGGGCTCGAACCCACAGACCGCGAGATCATGACCTGAGCTGAAGTCGGACGCTTAACCGACTGAGCCACCCAGGCACCCCAGCATAGGTTTTTTTCTTATTTACCTGACGTGCAGGAGTCACTCAGCTAGCTTTGGGTATTTTTTGGAGGAAATTGGTCCATAGGTAGTTGTAGATTCGGTGTATCAGTGGGAGGAGAAGAGTTCAAGATCCTTCTACACCGCCATCTTGAAACCCCAGACCTTCTTTAAGTGTACACGCACACGCACACCCGTGCGCACACACACATGGCAGCTTAACATTCATGTTCTTCTAAACTGCTATTTCCCATTTAAAAATGTAACTTCAATGCCTTTTGGTAAAACGTGTACATTTGTATTAATATTTTATATGGATGTTGAGTGTTCCATTGAACAGACGTTCAAAATCTTTCAAAATCGATTTCCAAGTACTGGTCTCACAGATTAGTTATACTCGGTTTCCCCTTTATTACATTTTGATGGCCCTGGCATACATGTTAAGAACCATATGCACCATTCCTTAAGAGTACTTGTTTAAACTGACTTTCTTCATCAGCCAAACCCCTATCCTGATAGTGTCAGAGAAGAGGAATTCATACCAAATCATAACTTCACAGCCGTCTACTGAAAAACCATTTGCTTCTTAAACTGGGCCCAGAATTAGCCTGGACTTTTGCCTCTTGAGAGGTCCTCAGACAACACATGACGTTCAGTTAGGAAGCACATCAGAGAAGGAACACAGGGGCAGGACTCAGCTCATAATTTTGGCCATGCTACTAACCAGCTAGCTGTATGCCTTCAGGTAGATCACTTTTCCTGCCTCGTCACATATTCTCTGAAGTTCTGAACTTGACGATGGCATCATGGTTATCATTTAACTCAGACCTACTGAACAAATGCTACTAGGTAATATCAGTACTCAACCTGCCATTTATGTATTTGTTCTCAGGTAAATGTTGCTCAACACAAGACTAAATCACTTCCAGGTAATCTGTGAATAGTGGATTAGGCACCTTTTGCTGTGACAACAAGCCCAAACTCACAGCGGCATCTAGCAACAGACATTTCCCTTACCAGAAATGGTTTTACTCTACAGTATAAATCTGCTGAACATTTAAAAAGAAAGACTTTACAACCCATTGACTTTATGGTCAATTGATTTTTCAAAGGATGCCAAGACCAATGAATGTAGGGAAAACAGTCTTTTCAAGTGCCCACTGCCGGAAAAGTGAATATCTACACGCAAAAGAGTGAATTTGGAACACCAACCTCACACATGCACAAAAATGTAACTCAAAGTGGATCAAAAGCTTAAATAAAAGGGCAAAGACTGTAAGACTCTTAGAGAACACAGAGGTGAAAATCTGTGTGACTCTGGATCAGGTAATGCTTTCTTAGATATGACACAAAAAGCATAAAAAATAATAGGTAAACTGAACTTGATCAAAATAGAAACTATTGCATGTCCAAGGATACTACTGAGAAGGTTAAAAAGACAACCCACAAAATAGAGGCAAATATCTGCAAATTGTATACCTGACAATGATCTAATAACTAGAATATGCAAAAACATTTATAGCTTACCAATAAAAAGACAAATAACTTAATTTAAAACCAAGCAAAAGACTCTGAATAGACATTTCTCTGAAGAAGATACACAGATGGTCAATGGCACATGTAAAGATGTTCAACATCATTAGTCACTGGGAAAATGCAAATCGAAACCACACTGAGATACCACTTCACACCCATCAGGATCCAATAAAATAAGAAAAAGAAAAAGAAAAAAAACACACCAGGAGTCAAGTGTTGGCAAGAAGGCAGAGAAACTGGAAACGCCTGTATTGCTGGTGAGAATGTAAAATGGCGCAGCTCATGTGGAAGACAAGTCGGCAGTTCCTCAAAAAGTTAAACCCACAACTAGCCAGCGATTCTACATCTAGGCGCGTACCTGATAGAACTGACAACAGATGCTCACACACAAAAAATGCTCACAGCAGCATTATTCATAACAGTCAAAGAGTATAAACGACCGAAATATTCATCCACTGACAAGGATACTTAAAACGTGGCGGAGCCTATCATGCAGCCAAAAAAAAGGGAATAAAGTCCTGTTATGTGCTGCAATACGGATCGACCCTGAAAACATTCTACTCTAAGGTTAAAGGAAGCCAGACACAAAAGGCTGCATGTCATAGGAGTACCATTTATAAAAGATGTACTAGAACAGGCAAATCTGTAAGAACAGAAAGTAGATTAGTGGTTGCCAAGAAATGGGGGAAGGGGAGAGTCAGAACTGATAGGCTTCTTTTTTGGGGGATGGACACGTTCCAGAATTAGACAGTGGTGACGGATGTGCGGCAGAGTAAATGTACTAAAAGCCAGCGAAGAATACAGTTTAAAATGGTAAATTTCATGCCACGTGACTCACATCTCAATGACAAATGAGACAACTTCAGCATCAACAAGTAGAATGTGCAGATACATTAAAAAAATCTAGAGTAACACTAATTAAAAGAAAGCTGGAGTCACTTTGAATTTCAAATGAGGAATCACTGTATGAATTTCAGATAAGGCAGATTTCAAAGCAAGGAAAATGACCAGGCATCAAGAGGACCATTACGTAATGATAAGGAAATCAATTCACCAAGAAGACACAGTAACCCTTACTAGAGAAGTGCCTAACTTACAAGGTGAGGCAGAAGCTACCAGAACTACAGGGACAAATAAACAAATTCATTATTAGAGTTGGTGACTGCAACACTTCTGCATCAGTAACGGACAGAGCTAGCAATAGGGCGACGAGGGACGAGGGTGGCATGCAGCTCACTCAATGTCACCACCAATCAACTCGAATGGGCGTCCACAGACAACATCCCGTAACAGTGGAAAACACATCCTTCTCAAGCTCATGTGGAAAATCTTCCAAGACAGAATAATTCTACACCATAAAACACAACTTAACAAATTTTTAAAAAATAAAATCTATTTTATTCCACAATGG